GTTGAGGGATAAAAAGGTGTGGATTTCTACATGTAATAGTTTTATTGTCACGTCACATATACTTTTATAACAAATATACTGATAAACAAACATAATATTAACAATCCTGGTAAGTTACAGTTCCCTTTAAAGTACGTAAGTGATGCCGCCAACTATCTTTAGATACCGGAGGAAGTGTTTTACCTAATCACACATTGGGTTGGGGGTCTCACATCAGAACTGATCAGCTTAATGCTGTATTGATGATAGGCATGTAGCAGGATGTCTGGCTATATATAGAATGCAGCACAAGCGCATTCTTAGTTAATGAACTGAAAAACAATGAGGAATAATGCACGGTCCCTTGCCTCCTGTTGCAGGTGGGGGCAAGAGGGGTCAGCACTGGCTCTGTCTGCGCATTTTCATCCTGATGAGATTGCACCATTAATCTCCTCGATGAAGAAATTATAAAAAAAACTGCCTTTCATTTTATTTTATGGCTATGCCTATCAAGTAATGAGCTTTCATACTGTCTGGAAAAAATAAAAAGCTCATTATTAAATCCCATCCAGACACTGGACTTATCAGAGCAACAAAATCTGACCGCTACCTCTTCAAGCCCGCTCCAGGCAATGTATAAAAATGTATTAATAAAAACTGTACTATTTAATTCTTTTAACTGCTTCACTACTTGTTTACAAATGGAATTCTGATCCGTTATCTGATGCTGGACGTCCTCACGGACCTCCAGCATCAGATTTTCCCCATAGGAAAGCATTGAATAATGCGTTCATACTATGGAGAGGTTTAATGCGTGCGTGGTCATTGCCGCGCATGCTCATTAAGTCTCCCCCTGCCGATATCAGCGAGGAGCGTGGGCGGAGCCTGACCCAGCACCGAGGGGCATCGGCTCTGGATTCAGGTAAGTGGCTGAAGGCTTTAACGGTTTGTTTTCCTGGCACTATAGGATCCCTTTAAGAGTATTGTTGACTTCTCTAGAAGACAGTAACCCTAACCAAGGGGGCATCGGGGGAGAGGGGGTGGCTTGCATTCTGTGTGAATACTGTGTGATATACTGCACATATCACCACCTGAAGCATGTTCCATTAACAGGGGCGAGAGTGACCTATATATTGAGTCATCCAGAACATATTGAACAAATATTCAGTCAAAACAACATAAAGCTTTTTGGAAAAATAACTCCAAGCTATAAAGCCAAAAGCATAAACCTGAAGACTCTGTGTGGCATTCAGTATTTGTCAGGTGGCCATTGGGAGCTCTGGTGCAGTTCATGGCACAAACAGTACCACATTTGCTGGGACCCATGCATGGTTAATAGGTGGTGCAGGTGTGACAGGGGTCCATGAGGCCAAGAGCAGAGTAGTGTAGGTACCTTAGCCCCTGAAGTAAAGCTTGTGTACAGTTCCATTGTGTGTGATAAGGAGGGATTTTCAAAAGTGAGTCTTGAAATAAGAGTGGATTCTTACCTCTCAGTGCCGCTATGATGTGGCCTATATCTCGAGACAAGGAGCACTGGAGGATGCAGCGGTGCATCGTTGAGAAGCGTTGGTAGATCTATTCAAAGCCATCCTGCAAAGGAGCTGTTCAAGATCTGTAAGTGCCGGCAGGGCCGGATTAACAATGGGGCTGATGGCCAGTGCCAGTATTGCAGTAAAACCGGCAATAGAAATGCCGGCATATTTCTATCTATAAACAGAGATTACTCTGCAATACCTGCGCCAGCCAGTAGGGGCCACTGTGTGTGGAGAGAGGCAGGGATAGGTAGTTACAGCATATCCCTGCCTCTCTCTACACACTGATCCATGGGGGAGCAGCTACACAGCACAGAGAGTCCAAACAGCAGCTCCCAGCCTGCGGAGACAACCTACAGCTCAGGGAAGTGAGGGATGGGGTAAAGGCTTCAGGGAGACATGGGGACACTAGGGAACACTGGGTGACCTGGGAACACTGAGACACTTGGGGACACTGAGAAACCTGAGGACACTGGGAGACACTGTGTCCCTAGCGTGTGTCCCCATGTCTCCTAATGTCCCTAAGTCTCTCAGTGTCCCTAGTGTCTCAGTGTCCGCATGTCTCCCACTGTCCCTATGTCTTAGTGTCTCCCAGTGTCCCCTAGTGTCAAATGTCTCACAGTGTTGGCATGTCTCTTAAGTGTCCCATAGTGTCCAAGTGACACTGGGCAACATGGGGACACGAGGGGACACTGAGAGACATGGGGCACTGAGACACATGGGGCACTGAAACATTGTGATACATTGGGACACTGTGATACATAGAAGACATTGAGACATGGGGACATGAGGGGACACTGGGACACATGGGGCACTGAAACACTTTGATACATAGGGGACACAGGCACTAGGGGATACTGGGAGACATGAGGACACTGGAAGACTAGGGGACACTAAGACACTGGGAGACAGGGAGACACTGGTAAAAATCCATCTTTTATTCAGCAGAATAAATGTGAGTAGTTTTTGGGGATTTTACAGAATTTTCTTCTAGGTCACTCCTTGTAATTTACACGCATACATAATTAATTATGCAAATTAGTAAGGCCGGTATTTTTTTCCAAGAAAGGTGGCAAGCCTAACTATCCTTCACATACTCTTGCTTAAGCATGGAATCTTTAGAGGGATGTATGGGAACAAAACGTGTGCGGACGGGCTGACAATGAAATTAGTTAAGGTAAAGCTGACTTTGTGCACAATGCAAATGATCTTGCTGCTTCAGTCTCTCTAACACTGTGACATGTTCCTTTTCTTCTACACTCACTACATGCAGCTGTTCTCTGTCCCAGACTATATACCAGGAGCTTCTGCCTGCTAGTAAGGAGGTTAGGAGAGGAATGGACCAGCGAGTGCTAGGGGACAGTCCTTAGAAATCGTGGCGCAAATTCATCGTTGGACACATTTATGCCAAGCTCAGGGTGCTGTCTGCATAGTTTGCCCTTAGTTGGCCAGCCTGCATGATTGGCAGGCAGCCTGACATGCATTCATGCCAGGCTGGCCTTCCAATTCTTTAGGCAGACACGCCCGCTTTTTAAGGCATGTTCGCCTCTTTCGGCAGTTCTGATTACATGATTTGCGTCAGTGGCGCACCCTTTTACCCCGTCCTGCTTCACTGGACACTGCTGTTAGGGGTATGGATTTACTTGAAAAATAAAAACAAAAATTAGAGAAGGATTAGCATAGAGTGTGTGTTTTCTCATAGCTGCACCCTATGAATTTCCCTTCAGCACCACTTCCGCCAGATACATGACGATTGGTAGGTATAACTGTTTTAGTGTTTTTGGTCAATAAGATTCTGTAATTAGGCCCATCATAATTGTCAGCACCAGGCCCACTGGGCTCTTAATCTGGCCCTGAGTGCCGATGGTAGGCCCCGGTTCTGTGTTTCAGCTTGGCCAGCTGCGGGATGTACATAAAAGGCCTCTAGGGATGCAGCGAGAGTACCACAATCAGAACCTGAGATTTTTAGGGCTGGATGGTGGTTGCAAGCAGCGGGAGTACAGTGGATTTCTCTGCAAGGTCGGGATCAACCAGAAATGGCATCTTGTCTGTCTCACCGTCAGGCTCTGCTCCCCACCTCTAAGAAGGGCTTCTAATTTTATTTTGCTCATTTAGAACTAAAAATTAGCAAGTTACTCCCCTGCTTGAACGCAGAATGTATTTGGTAAAGTGATTGAAACAAATATAATCCACTTTGCAAGAATGTCAGTTGAGTTCAGCAGAAAGTCAATCACTTGTCATCTCCAAGCAGTAACAATGAAAGATTACATTCGATGGTGTCCTTAAGGTAGAGAGAGACAATGCTATGTTTCAAAACAGAAGAAAAGAAGAAAGTGATGCAGGAAAATGAAGTCTGACATTAAAGATTCATGCTGAAGTAAATCTTTAAATAATTCATTTTTAGTAGAGGAATACATATTTTTCCATTGACACAAACGCTTTCAGCTGCAGTGCTTAAAGGTACAGTGACAGCAATCATAAAGTACATCTGAAAGATGGGGGAGTCAACGTTGGTAGGTAAGATTGTAGGATAGAGGAGAAGTGCCAAAGGGGTGGACGTACCATGACGTTAGAAAAGCAAAAAAACTCATGCAGTACTGAGTGACAGCCTCTCTATCACCTATCACAGCTATACTGAGCACTTACATTACAGTAGAGGAGGTACAGTAAGTGCAGTAGTAATACAGTGTATAAATATTTTATTTATATAACACTAACAGGTGTTCTGAGCACTTTACAGGTTGTTACACTGTAGGTGTGTACAGTAAGTGCATGATAGGTATACAATGTATGTATATTTTATATAACACTAATAGGTGTACAGAGCACCTTACATGTTTCATTACAGCAGATGAGTTACACTAAGTGCAGCAGTTATTTTGTGTATGACTATTTCATTTATATAGCGCTAGCAGGTGTACTGAGCACTTTACAGGTTGTTACACTATAGGTGTGTTGGGGTAAGTGCATAGGGTATGTATATTTTATATAACACTAATAGGTGTACAGAGCACCTTACATGTTTCATTACAGCAGATGAGTTACACTAAGTGCAGCAGTTATTTTGTGTATGACTATTTCATTTATATAGCGCTAGCATACTTTTAATTAAAAACGCTCCACATGTTACATTACAGAACAGGGAAAGCACACCAAGTGCAGTAATCCTGCTTTGTATGCTTACTTATATTGCGATAACACTGTTCTCCGATTACTTAACATAATGAAAAACAACTCAGTAGAATGTCTATTTGAATATGCAACATATTGAGTATTAATTGTGACCCTACAATTCAGCAGTCACAAGTGAATCTATTTTCTGTGTTCCATATACGCAAAATTATTATGGTCTTTTTTGTTTTTATTTTTGCTCTTTTACTTTTATACATCACATTAATCACAGTGGGTATGTTAGTCCTGGCTAACAGCCGGGGGTCTTGTGACCCTGAGGATGTCTCCTGTAAAGTCCTATTTATAACTTCACGTTGACTTCAGGACTCCATGTCAAGAGCAGGAAGAGTGATAGAGACTCGCAGGCCCTGAAAACACACGCCTCTCCAGTAATAACAGAAGGTAAAGCAACAGGGTATTGTCAGTGTTAAGCTATGGGAAATCCTGGGGAAAAACTGGGAAAACAGGTTGTAGTTCAACAATTGTCACAAAGGCTTGAACTTGTGGGACGTTTTTTAACCTCTTTGCTCTTAAGTAATCCAGTGCTGTATACGTCCTCCCCTTAGTTAATGTGTGTCTCAATTAAATAGCATTTTGTGCCTCTGTGAGTATATTAAAACATGTAAACTTATTGATTAAAGTTCAGTTTCAGATATTTTAGGTGAGAATTTGCAGTAAAGCTTTAGTTCTTAGTATTTTTGTCTTCAGATATTCATATCTCATTTCTCCAGCCATTTCAGAGTTAGTACCTATTTTAGCAGGATTACTGCGCAGCCAAACAATAGCAACATGGGTTAGTGCTGGATAGACTGACACTGTCAAACACTGGATCTCCAAGGTACCCCAACAGACCTGGATTTAGGTATTTCTCAGGTCTGTTTCTAACAAAACCTGGATTGTTGATGTATCTTGAGGACTGGTTTGGGAACTACTGGGTTGCAGATAAGTTATTTTAGGGTTGCTTGGAAATGGACTACAACATTTTTTGTAAGTCTCTAACTAGGTGAGACCTACACAAGCTTCTTTATATGACATCCAGGGGAATGTAAATAGAGGTTGCATAGGATACACCAGTGGAAATGTCACGATACATGTTGGACGCTGTCGGACCGCTCCCCTTCACAGGTTGCCAGGCTGAATTCTCTGTTCAGCCGCACAGAATGTCTCCGCACAGACATGTGGAAGGAGGAAATACTTGCCTGTTGCACCGCTCTCATACAGGGCCGCTCAGCCGTAACAATTCGGATGCTACCCGCTCGAATGGTACGTCCTTGCATAAAAATAAATAACGCAACGTCACATCCAGGGCTGGTGCAAGGATATTTGCCGCCCTAGGCAAAAGAAAAATTGTGTGTGTTTACATTAAAAAGCCTAGAGGGACAGGCTATAGACACCAGAACCACTTTTGTCTATTTGAATATGCAGTGGTTCTGGGGACTATAGTGTCCCTTTAATATGAGGTAAATTAGAGATTAGTGTCACTAATAATATACTAGATTGCCTACTTACAACCAGATGAGGATGGTGATGGGCTCTGGCTGCAGTTTGGCTCCACTGATCTGGTGTAGAACATCTCTGGAGGCTGTTTGTAACTGTGGTCACAAAATTCAATGTTCTGGGAGAACGGGAAGCAGCTCAATTTTGTTGGGCCCCTTACACAGCTCTTACACTGCTGGGCCCAAGGGCCTGATGGTGAGTATGCCCATAAGGCCCACCCATAAGTTCACCTACATGTTCCACCCATGAGTTCGCTCACAATGAGTGGAGTGTGTAGGGGATGTGTTATGTGTTATTATAGAGGATCTAATGTGTGTGCTTATTGAATGTAGTGTATAGGGATACCAGTTTGTGTAGGTAATGCAATGCGTTTGTGTGCAGTGGAAGCAGTGTGTTTTTGTGTAAGGGATGTATTGTGTGTTTCTGGTTATGTGTAAGGGAATGCATTGTGTGAATCTGTGTATGCAAGGGATGAAGTGTGTGTGTCTGTAAGGGGTGCATTGAGTGTATGTAAGAGATGCATTGTGTTTCTGTGTATATGTAAGAGAAGCAGTGTGTGTTTGCATGTGTGTAAAGGATGCATTGTGTGTTTCTGTGTATGTGTGCAAAGGATGCAGTCTTTATGTGTAAGGGTTGCATTGTGTGTGTGTAATGGATGCATTGTGTGTTTCTCTGTGTGTAAGTGAAGCATGTTGTGTTTCTGTGTGTGTAGGGATGCATTGTGTGTTTCTGTGTATGTATAGGGATGCATTGTGTGTGCATGTGTGTGCGCGCATAGTGTGAAAGAGCTCCCTGTCCTGCCCCATGTCCTATAGAGCTCTCCCTTCCATCCCTTAGAGCTCCCCCGGCCCCTTAGTGGTCTCTCCACCCCATCACCCTCCCCTAGCAGTCTCTTCTCACACCCCCGTGTTCTCCTCACCCCCCTCCCTGTGATCTCATCTCCCCTTCTTCTCACCTCCCCCCTCCCTGTGTTCTCCTCACCTCCCCCTCCCTCTGTTCTCCTCACCCCCCGTGTTCTTCTCACCTCCTCCCTCCATGTGTTCCCCTTACCCCCCTCCCTGTGTTTTCCTCACTCCCTCACCCTCCCTGTGTTCTTCTCACTCCTCCCGTGTTCTTCTCACTCCCCCCTTCCCTGTGTTCTTCTCACAACCCCCCGTGTTCTTCTCACTCCCCCGTGTTCTACTCGTCCCCCTCCCTCTGTTCTCCTCATCTCCCTTCTCCTCACCCCTCCCTGTGTTTTCCTCACTCTCCCACCCTCCTGTGTTTCCTCCTTCCCTCCTGTGTTCTTCTCACAACCCCCCATGTTTTCTCACAACACCCCTGTGTTCTTCTCACTCCCTCCCTGTGTTCTTCTCATGTCCCCCCTCCCTGTGTTCTCCTTATCTCCCCTTCTCCTCACCCCTGTCCCTGTATTCTTCTCACCCCCCCGTGTTCTTCTCACTCCCCACATGTTATTCTCATCCCCCTCCCTGTGTTTTTCTCACTCTCCCCCATGTTCTTCTCCCCTCCCCTATGTTCTTCTTACTCCTCCCCCTATGTTCTTCTTACTCCCCTCTCCCTATGTTCTTCTTACTCCCCCGTGTTCTTCTCACCCCCCATGTTCTTCTCACCCCCACCCTCTGTGTTCTTACTCCTTCTCCCCATATTCTTCTTGCTTCTGCTCACCCTCCCTATGTTCTTCTTACTTCTCCCCCCTCCCTATGTTTTCCTCACTCCCCATGTTCTTCTTACTACTCCCCATGTTCTTCTTACTCCTCACCCCCTCCTATATTCTTCTTGCTCCCCGTGTTCTTCTCACACCCCTGTGTTCTTCTTACTCCCCCCCCCATGTTCTTCTGACCTCCCCTTCCCTGTGTAGCGTGGGTGGCCGAGTTTCTCTCCGGTCCGCGGTACAGGAACTTCTGTTTCCTGTACCCGACCGGACTGACAGGAAGTGCACACTGAGTATATAATGTTAAACTTTGGCCACTCTCAGGCCCGGTAATACATCTATATTTGATCCTTTATTTCAGGGTTTCCCATATCCTGTAAGTTAGGGTAATCACACTGTGACAGGAATTGATTCCACCATCTCTACCCACCATTCCTATAGTCCACAGAAAGAGACATATACCTCTGAAGATAGCCAGCTTTATTTTTTGCCTACATTGATTATATATCTTTGTTCTTTCAGTCACTAATGTAGAGGAGCCTCATGAAAAAGCAGGGGAAATATATTTCACTGGAGAATGTCTCACCTCTTACAGTCCACTGAAAATGTCTGCCCCACACTTAAATACTAGGACAGATGTGCAAATGGTGATACAAATCCACCAACGAGCCCATGAAGTAGTACTAGTAGGAATATCTGCATGATGGGTATAGTAAAATTTTTTTTCAGTCTTTCTTTTATTTAAGCATTATAGTAGTACAAAACAGGTAAAAAGGAGGTATTACAATATAACTAATATATTAGTATATTAATATAATTTAAACAGTAAGAATTGTAAGCACAATTTTTATTAGAAAGGTGCAGGAAGATGTTTTCTAGTGCTTCGATTATATTTGAGTTTGTTGGTTTATACATGTGTACTAGTATTTGATACGAATCAAAGTATAATAATCTTTACTCGATATTTCAAATTCAAGTTGTTCAAAGGATTTAGGATGTAATCCAGTATAGAAATCTGCCATTTTCAGGTCTGTATTCTTATACCAATCCATCTCCCTCAATTCTGGGATATTCTATTCTATTGTTTCTATAGGAGTTTGTTAAATTATTTTATCTTTTAGTCCAATGTTATTTTTTTATTCTAGACCAAAAAAGAATTATATGTTTAAGAACAAAAGTCCCCTGGAATTGGGCTATTCTTTCCTCTATTAGTTCATGGTTCATCCATACTAAGTTATTAGGATCCTTCATATCCATCAAATTTTGTTCACTCAAGAACCAGTCTTCAGAGAATTGTAAACTTGTTACTAATAATATGCTCCATACAGTAGAGTGGCAGGCTGCGTATTGATCAAATAAGCATGGAAAACATACTATGCAAAACATTATATTAATATCCCACTGGAATGAGATTCTTCAGCATAGTGCTCATTCAATTAGATAAAAATTACGAAGGCAAGACAGGAAACTGAAGCTAAAAATAAAACCCTGCATGGCATAGAATTGGGCAGTCGTAGCCACTGAAAAGACCCATGGTTTGGGATGCAAGCCGCCATGTGGCTCTACAATTCAGCCTATTCTAGCTACAGGCAAAAATTTTAGCTGGGTGTATCAGCACAAATATGTGAAAGAAGAGCCATCCTCCTGCCCCAGTCCTGTTGTGACTGTCATGGGACAGGGAAGTCCTGAGAGGGGCAATGGAAGTCCCAGATTAATTGGGCCCGGTTTGGCATTTGGTCCTCAGTGGCATGGTCAGTGTCGTAGGGGCAAACCCCCTGTGGCCCTCAGTCTGGGTGGGCAGTTGTAGCAAGTGGCTTGCTTTGGAGCGATTGTGTTGCCTGGAGGGGGTCCTCTTGTATCTCACCCCAGCATTTCCAATCTCCCCCAGTAGGAAGAAGGTGTGATGCGGAACAGTCTTCCAGACTAGCCCAGAAATGTTCAAAGATAGTCTCCAGCAATGTCAGGAGATTGCTGTTATGTGCAGGTAGCTCTATACCTTTGTAGGCCATGCTCCTTCATGTAAGATTGTTTGTGTCCACCATGTCAAGCATATCAGGCCTTTCACAATGTCTTCCCTCAGCGTAGCATGTAGGGATTCGGCGTTGTCAGCCGGCCTTGTCTTATGGTTTTGTGTAGATGAACACTCCACCGGGGACTGGGATATCCGCCACCAGTCCGGGGGAGGGGGTAAAGGGACTGTGAATAGGCTTCAGCCATTGGTGCACTACAGGTTGCGAAATCAGCCGCTTCAGTTGCCGAGCACGGAAGGCCGCAGATCCAAAATGAGGTAAGTGCTTATAAGACTACACTTCCGAGCATCTTCAGTGTCAGGCCTCAGCCCAGGAATTTTGTAGATCAGTCTAAAAGTGAGCAGAGGAATTTGTTCATAGTGTCAGGCCCAGTGCTTCTGCTTCTTTGCTGGTAGTTCCAATGGGGTGGGCAGTAGTGCTGTATTCTATAGTGTACAGGTAACATTTACTCATAGAATATATTATTCAACAGTGGCCTATGATTAAATACTGCCATAGGACTGGATGCCATTTTTATCTCTCTCCAGTTCAACATCTTGCCAATATGACAATATTTTTTTTTTTAAACTACTTTTTTATATTCAGTATTTTTCAAATTTGAACAACGTAGTAAACAAAATGGAAAAACAGAGAACAATAACAAAAAAAAAGATAAACAAATATGTAGAGGGAGCTACCATACGTCAAAACATCACCTTGCAAAAGAGTAGACTATAACTCCCACCCAGGAAGAAAATGCCTCAATTTGATCATGTTTTCTTATACTATAGAATACAAAGTGACAAATCTAACTTTAGTGGTGGTCCACCACATAAATCATCTTATGTCAGGACATGATCACACCCCATTCATAGGCAGAGGTGCAGCTCTAATCTATGTAGTGATTAAGAACCACTGGGCTCCTTCTTTAGAAAAACTGATATTCTCACTTTTTTCATTACAAAGGAGCTCATATTCCCAGAACCCTCTTGGGTTGGGAGGCCACCAGTGTCATTAATAGCTAATCCTAGGTCTCGAGCCACATTTTGAAGCAGTCAGCATCAGGGAGAATTGGGAGCCGCCTCTGTGCATACCAAGGATTACCTTCTTACCAAGGATAAGCGTATTTTCCGTCCTAAAATGAAAAGAATATATAAAATAAGAGAGGGGTTTTGTTAAGAACTAACATTCTGTTAGAGCAATTATTCATCTCCAGGCATTCAATATGGGGAAATTGTTTAGACTTTCTTGGTGGGAGATAAAGTCTGAGATTGTTTGTTTAACAAAGTTAAAGATTTTAAAGATAAAATATTTGGGTTGCATCCCAGTTATGACAAGTGTTTCCTGAAATATTAATCCTGTCTAAAGCTTTGCATGCAATATAATATTTAGATTAGACAAGTGATATTACCTGAAATCCATAATATTATAGTAATGTGTTATATGTGTATACATTTACATATATACATTTAATCTTTTCCCCTCACCAGAAATGTTGTTTTCCTAATTATCTTCATCTTGTGTTTCATCTCCTTTTGGTAACAGGATCAATAATAATTCACCCAAAAAAGGGTAATAAAAAACATTAATTTCCCATCATGGAAAATGGGTCAGAGCAGAAGAAGAAACAGCTCCATGGCATCAACCTATTGGATCATATAAACAGAATGAGAGAAGCATCAGAGATGATTGATATTGTACTAGTGGCTGAGGACCAGAGGTTTCCATGCCACAAAGTGGTATTGGCTTCCTTTAGTCCTTATTTTAAAATAATGTTCACCTGTGGTTTGGTGGAATGTAACCAGGGGGAGGTTGTCTTGCATGATGTAACCGCTTTAAGCATTTCTATTATATTGGAATACATGTACAGTGCAGAGCTCAGTATCAACAATCTTACAGTTCAAGGTGTTGCCACTGCGGCCTTTTTTATGCAGATAGACGATGTTTTCCATATCTGCCAGAACTACATGACAGACCATATGGATTCATCAAATTGCATAGGCATCTATTATTTTGCCAAGCAGATCAGTGCTGAAGATCTAGAAGACAAGGCCAAAAAATACTTGTATCAACACTTCAGTGAAGTTGGCTTACATGAGGAGATATTGGACATTGAGTTTGAGCAGTTGATGGGAATGATTATGTCTGATGACCTCAACGTGTCCCGAGAAGAAAGCATTCTTGAATTAGTTCTACGTTGGGTGAATCATGGAAAGGCTGCACGTTCTCAGCACCTTATTGATCTTCTGAAGCAAGTGAGATTGATGCTTGTGAATCCCTCATTCCTTCGAGAAACCAGAAAGAGGAACACTATACTACTGTGTAATTCACAGTGCTATGACATGTTTGAAGAAGCACTAGCAACCATTGAAAAGTCCACGCAGGTCTCTCTAACTCTGCGTTATGGCATGGAGACAACAAGCCTTCTTCTTTGTCTAGGGAACAACTCTATGGGTATCAGGTCAAAATATGGAAGTTATGCAGAGGCTAGTTTTTGCTTTGCTCCTGCAACAAGAAAAATTTGTTTCATTCCTTCACCCAAGCAAGGAGAGGTATTGGGCACAGTGTTGGCTGGTGTCATTACAAATAACAATGATATTATCTTAGCTGGAGAAGCCAGTGCTGTCCGACAAGCAAGACAAAAGGTCAGAATGGTTGAAATCTGCAGGTATGTTTGGAATGCAATATTATGATTATATTTGCTACAGTTATTTAGTTATTTGCTTGATGTAAAAACAAAAAACAAAATACGAGGTACATTTGAAAAAAGCTTTGTTAAAGAGACATGCATTTGTGTTTTTTCCAGATGTAGGAAGCAGAGGCAGCTCTCTAATTAGGCGGTTTAGGCAACTGTCTGGGGCCTCGCGGCTGCCTAAACCACCTTAGGGCAGACTGTGTCAGGTCCTCGGTCAGTGACTGAGGACCTGACACCAGGAGGGGGCCCAGTGACTTGCTGAATATGCCGCTGGGTGCGAGGCCTCTCCGTGCCATCTGCCCGGGAGGAGAGCGCCAATCGCAGACACCGGTCTGCAGCTCCACAGTGTGCAAAGCTGCAGACCATGTGTCTCATGAATTCTGACCAATCAGAGCATTCCCGCGGGTTACCACGGCAATGCTCTGACTTGATCTCGCGAAATACATGGTCTGCAGCTCTGCACACTGTGGAGTTGCAGACAGGCACCCATGGCCACAGGACCACCAGGGAGCCCACCGGACCACCAGGGAGAGAAACAAGGTATTTAATCATCCCTCCCTCCCAGTATTCCCCCCCCCCCAGCATTAACCATCTCCCCCCCAGTATTAACCCTCTCCCTCCCAGTATTCCCCCACCCCAGCATTAACCCTCTTCCTCCCAGTATCCCCCACCCCAGCATTAACCTTCTCCCTCCCAGTATCCCTCCCCCAGTATTAACCTTCTCCCTCCCAGTATCCCTCCCCCAGTATTAACCTTCTCCCTCCCAGTATCCCTCCTCCTAGCATTAACCCTCTCCCTCACAGTATTCCCCCCTCACAGTATTACCCACCCTCACAATATTCCCACCTCCCAGTATCAACCCCTCTCCCTCACAGTATCACCCCCCCCTCCTCACAGTATTACCCCTCTGTCCCTCACAGTATAAACCCATTGTCCTACATACTATCACCTGCTTAACGTAGGGTATGAACTATAGTGTTTAGTGAATAGGATTTAAAGGCCCAGTGCGAAATGACATGGGCTGATGTTTCGGTAGACGGCTCATTCACCTCACTGCCACATTAAAGTGGGTCATCAGTATGAAATATAATAAAGAAAAGGAGGGAGAGCAATATATTAAACAACAACAAAAAAGTCAAAGGGTGTCAAATTGGCATCATGAAGCAACATTAAAATTACGTTACGGAGTCCCATCCTCTAGTGGGGACAAAAGGCATCACGTTGCAAACATCCCAAGTATAGTCCCAAGGATCTCATGGGGTGGTACTGCAAGGCCGAGAGATGCCATAAACTTCACAGCCTCGTCTGATGATGCGGCTTTTTAGGTATTTTCTGCCATGTAAGCCATGAGGGCATTAGGAGTGGACCAACGATAGTGGATGTCCGCTTCCAGTGTCTCCATTGCAAAGTGCAGCAGGTAAGATCTTGATAGAAGGAAAAAATTGTACGATTCAAAGTCCAGAGGTGTTTTATCTCAAATGATTTTTAGCAGTTTTTGCTTGTTGGCAAAAGATTGAAAATGGACTATAATGTCTCTAGAGGAATCACCTGGTGCTTGTGGCGACCCAGTAGATTCCATCTATAGTGATCTATTTCACCAGCTTCATTGGAAACATTGAGGCCATCAATTTCCTCAGCAAATGTGGGTGCTCTTCAGAAGTCACTGTCTCTGCCACCCCTCTTTTAAGATTCTTCCTCTGGTGTCTGTCTTTGAGGGAATCTGCTCTGAGGTTGGTATTAGCGTTGGAGGACTGTAAGTTGTGCACAGTTGTCTCCAGAACTGTTTTTGGATCAGGAACCTTATCTTCAGTAGCCAGTATATGGTCTGTGACCACCTGAACTGCTTGGACCTCCACCCTCACCAGAGCAGTATCAGCGTCAATGAGCTTTCTGATGCATTTGTAGAGGTTGGTTATGTCTTCCTTGTGGCAAGAGTGGATATTTGTATCTCTAGGCCTAGTGGGAGGTATGCTGACCTCATCTTCTGATGGGTCTATAGAAGCCTCCCTCTCAGTGGGTTTTGTTACCTTCATATTTGGTGTACATTTCAGCATCTTGATGATGTCTCTCATCTCTTGAGACATAACCAACTGTTTTAGCTTCAGGAGGCCCATCTCTAAGGGGTCCAGATCCATCTCATAAGGCGGTGAGCAGAGACCCAATTAGGTTCTAATTAGGACCAAAATACAGTTTCTGCATGCTCCACCGGGATCTGCAGCCTGTGCTGCCTAGAGCTCTGTCGGGTCTTACAGGCAGATTTGGCATGTGAGCGATATAGCACTTTCAGTGATCAATGTGGCTGGATGCGATTGATATTTGCCTAATTAAAACTTGTGACACAGGTATTTATTTTAAAATTCTTTATTTTGTTGTGCGCAGGTTAACAGTACACGCTTGGCAAGCCTAGTTATGACAGTATGATAAACGTTGGTATGGCAGTTCAGATAACAGCACACTTTTTTTTAACAACATTCAGAAACAGGTTGGCTTAACGTAAGAAGAGTGTTCATTAGCATTATCTTATAGTTGAGCAGTAACATCTCAGTTAGTTTGCACAAGCAGTGTTTCAGTGGGTACTCACAACATATCAGGAGTATTGTATACATTTAAAAATAGTTAAGGAAATTTAAACTGAGAGTAAATGTCGAATAGCAGTCTTGCTACATAATTTACACTAGGCTCGTGTGTCATGCATTGTAGGTTCAATCTAGCATATTATATACAAAAACACTTGTAGGAGCCTAAGCATGTTCTAAATTGAGGAGTAGTGTAGGAGTAGCAAACAGATTAGGTAAGAGAGTAGTTAGTATGCCACTGGGGACTTGTCATTGAAAATAGGGAGGCAGGGGTTTATGCTAAGAGCTCAAATACAGATTAGCTGGTGTGGGTCACCCCTCTGCCCCCTCCCTCCACCGGCTTGGCTAAGCATGATAAGAATAGGCGTCTAAACCCAGTGGTAAACCCAGCCATATCTGCTCTGCCTGTCTCAGGTCGGAGCACAGGCTCATATCTGGTATTCTCTGATCTAGCTCTAGCTGGAGTCGGCATCAGAGTCCGTGGGTGTGTCCACCTAGGTGTCAAGCAGCGATATAAGGTTTCTTCTGCTCAAGGCTCTTGGCTTGGATGAGTGGTTGCCGGAGCGTCTGTGCTGGGATTCAGGTGGATGCTGCTGAAAGTACTCTTTCAGCTGTAGTGCTTTCTTTACCGTGGAGCCCGTGAGTGGAGGTAGGGATCCTTCCACAGCCTCAGTAGGGATTCCGCCTCTAGGCTGGTCATAGCGGGCGTTCTCGTGGAGGCTTAGGTGGCAGCCATTTTAGCTCCAGAGTGCGGGAGACTGGGTGTGGATTAAATTGTAGCGTTCCCCTTCCTGCTGTCGTGGGCCCTCCAGTGGGGAACGGGATAACCCCCACCGGTCCAAAAGGGGGGGGGGACCAGGACCACTTCAGAGAGCCGGTGTGTGATAGCCGGGGGAGAAAGCAGGATGGCGGCCGTCCACCCTGCTCCTTCCTCGATTAGGCCGAAGACACCAAAGTATTTTTTCGCCCTCCCGGGCTCCAAAAACTCCCAATCTCGGGGTCTGCTGCAGCACCGACAGCCATGTAGTGTTTTTGTCATTATTCCGGGCTCAGTTTAGCTCAGGAGCCACATATTTCAGCTTATAGGGCTGAGTCCCTCAGGAGCCTCTCCTGCATGCGACCGGTCAGCATGGAGGCCCGGCCCCGCCCCCGACACAGGTATTTTAAACTCACAGATTTCACAGCATTACTGCAAAGATAGATATCTGAAAGAGAAAAAAAAGAAAACAAGGTTTATTAGATACTGATGTAAATGGGATTGATTTGCCACCTAACATATACAAGAACCATTTAAACTTTATATAAACCTAGCATACACTGAAAATGAGTATGTGGTTTTATTTAGATCTGATAATAGTGGAAGGGTGATGTTTGAATTCTGCGGCTGTTGAAGCAAAAGAAAGCCTTGTCATAACCTCTGTATTATGACTGTCATTATCTGACACTTTTAGGCTTTTATTCTTCCTATATTTTTGAACAATCAAAAGCTATACTTTAAGGAAAGAAAATATTATTTTCCACTTATCAAAACTCTCCAAAATTCTGCACTACTTGCCTTCAGCATAGAATCATTGTACCATTGTACTTCGGGTATTGTCTATAGATAGCAAACAGTGTTTCATTTCTTAAATTACACACCTAAAACAGGTCACGGAGTTCCATCTCTTCTTCTTTTAAATCTTTCGCTGTCTGTACTACAGCGACCTGTATTTTATCCTCTTTATACTCTATTCTTTTGTTCTAGATGTTATTGTACATAATAGGATTTAGACCAAAACGTTATCTAGAGGAGAGGCCATGCTGCTATGAATGCTGTAGAATGAATAGACCTGTTCCTTGCTGGTCATGTTATAAAATATGTCAATGTCTAACAAGCATCTTATTCACTAGGTATCACAACAGGGGCAACTACTGCTGGGAGCGACTTTGTAGTGCGGAATACAGAGAGCTCTATGCACTGGGCAGTGTCCATAATGAGATTTATCTGATAGGTGGTCAAATGAAATTGAAAAACCAGTACCTCGTCACCAATTGCGTGGACAAGTACTCTATAGAAAATGACACTTGGAGAAGTGTTGCACCGCTGCCTCTGCCTCTGGCATGCCACGCTGTAGTGACACTAAACAATAAGCTGTATGTCATGGGAGGCTGGACTCCACAGGTTGGTGAAGAAAAAAACAAAACAAAATAATGTTACAAGTCGGAATGTTTGACGTGCATGGTTGGCCGCAATATTATACGATGTCAGCAAAACAAAAAAAAACGTCATATAGTCCTAATTAAAAGAAATTTCCTAAACAAAAACAACAACAAAAAAACAGGTAGGCTTAGCATGACAGTCAGTTGAGCCACTCATTTAACATAGCTGTAATACTAGTTCTTGAATTAAAAGTTAAAAATAAATTTTATGGCTATGTCTACGAACAGACATGGTAAGGTGATTCTTATATCTACTCTGAACAAACTGTTACATTCTAATTACAACATGTTCCTCACCTTTCAACTCTCTGAGGGTAAATTAATTTGCATCAGTCTCCTCTTTGATTTTAAATATAGTGGTTGCCAATGTGTGACCTCTAGCTCTCAAAGTTACAAATAAATAAATTTGTTCCACAATAGCCATTAGTAACCTTATCACTCATTCTATATAGGATGAGTGAAACTGCAGCTGAGGGGTAAACGATTTATTCCATAAAGCCCTACGAGGGCAGTCTCGTTTCACGTTTCTGATTGGTGGAGCATACATGTAGTAGTCAGGGAGGGCATGGTTATCAGGGAAGTTTGTTACTGACACTTGTCTGTCATGTATAAAAGAAATATAGTCTATAATGTTACCAATGTTCCTAGCTCCCTTCCCACTTCAGTAGCTAGAGAAATAAACATAATGTCCCAGCAAACATAAAAACAACAACATAAACAGTATTTATGCATTAAAGGTACACTATAGGCACCCAGACTAGTTCATCTCATTGAAGTGGTCTTGGTGTAGTGTCCCTGTCCCCTTAGAGAAACTGCAGTGTTTACATTGCAGGTTTAAGATTGCCTCCAGTGTTTGTCTCCCAGACAGCCACTAGAGGAGCTACCTCGATTCCAACACTGTGCATGAAGACAGCCAGCGTCTTGAAAATCCCTATAGGAAAGCATTGAGTCGGTGACTGGCCCTCGCCTTTGGTACCCCCATCGCTGTAATGCCAGAGGAGGTGGAGATCAATCAGGCAAGTAAAAACAAAAAAAGGGGTAGGTGGGGGCAGAGTAATATTATAGTGTTAGGAATACAGATTTGTATTGTGATTGAACATACTGGTCACCCAGCCCCTTTTTTGCACTGACCTACTTATTTTAGATATTTGAACACGTATCTCTATTAATGCAATAATGTATTAACCTCTGCTAAATCTGTTTTGCTGTGCTAATGCATTGAGCATATGATGGGCTCATTTCCTGATGATTGTGTCCCTTTAATCATTTTATCATTGTATTACACAGTGATACATCGTATAGGGCTATGGAATTTGCTGGCACTTTATAAATAATATAATAATAATAATATGTTGGTATTTCCTGTTTAAAATAAACATATAAAACCTGAAAAAGGAAGTGGTACCCTAATCTTTTCCTTTTAGGTATGTTATACCTTGACGTCAGCTTGAAATAAGTCTCGGAGGAAATATCTAAGGCAGGGTTGTCGAAAACCACCTACCCAGATGTTAACAGACATTTGTAATTCCCCAAATTCTTTGAATACAATAGAGGGGTAGATAATTATAGGAGTTGTAATTCAACATTTTCTACACATATCATCTGAATAATTTATTTTTAGACAGCTTAAATATTGCTAGGTTGTAAAACGTGAACGTGCATTGACTGAAATCTTTGTTTTGCATGTTGTAATCAATGTTCTAGTTTTAATACATTTTTTATTTTTCTAAAATCATACACAGACAGATCGTCCTGATGATGAACCGGACCGTTTAAGTAATCAAATGCTGCAGTATGATCCTGTTCGAGATAAATGGACCCAGTTGGCACCTATGAAATATTCAAAATATAGGTTCAGCGTGGCTGTTGTCAATAGTGAAATATACGTTCTAGGTAAGTGCCAGAGACATAGTTCTCCTCAGACCAAGGTTCCCTAAAAAGTCTGATGACCCGTAAAGAATCAGAGTCCTACCACTAAACATGTATTAAGAATGTTTTTACTGGGCAACAGGGACTAAAACACATTCAGGAAATGAATTGCTACCTTAAGAAAATAAGAATAAAACACAACATCTGCATTGAGATAAATATTATAATATAAACAAGTTTATCCTCTGGGATCCCCAAGGCTTGGCAATATTAAAACATACAGGAAAAAAAGCCAGAGGCAACCAAACAAAACATTTGGGTATTACCGAAGAGAACTGTTTTGTCAGTGGATAATGTCTATATTAGACATTGTGTACATAGGAGGTAGGCATTTTTTGATCACATATTGATTCTCTTTTTTTTTATTTCCAATTTAGTGAATAAACCCTAGTGCTAGGAAGGACATAAGGAAATCACAGCAAAGGGCATTATTGGGAACGGGCATAGCTCTTTTGACATTCGAATAGGTTAACGTTTATAGAAATTCAACCGTGTGTGGCTCTCTTGAAACCATTTATAGTTTGAATCTGATCTAGAACAGTATGCTGCGCAGAGATTGAGTGAGTAAAATGCTCAAGAATTTAGAACCTCCTGAGAACTGGGTTTGCTAAGCAGTAAAAGATTTAATGGACCTCCAGGGAACACAGTGTACCAGGAATAGTTAATATACACTAGACCATGAGTCGTCAACCTGGTCCTTACCGCCCACTAGTGGGCGTTTCAGGATTCCAGGTGGGCGGTAGGGATTTCCTCATTTTGAGATATTGGGCGGGCAGGCGGGTGCCAGCCAGCGGTACCCCTGCGACCGGTTACCGTCATAACCTTTTTCAAACCACAGGGGCCGCCACCCAAGGGGTCCATCGATGGATGTGGATTTTATGGGGGCCTGGTCAGCGCTGGGCACTTTAACAGTGCGACCGGGCCCCCTGTGATTACATCACAGAGCTGGGAGGAAGTGACTGCACGTGACTCCTCCCAGCTAACACACAGACCGCACGGGAGGAAGCAGAGGGAGTCAGAGTGGGAACTCTGACTCCCATCCACCTGAGCCACCATTGGACCCCAGGGAATGTCACCCTCCTGCACCTAAAAGGTAGGGAACAGGAGGGTGACTAAAATATTTTGTGTGTGTTTGTTTGTGTGTATGTGTCTTTGTATGTATGTCTTGTGTGTGTGTCTTTGTATGTATGTGTGTGTCTTTGTATGTATGTCTTGTGTGTCTTTCTGTATGTATGTGTCTGTATGTGTGTGTGTGTGTGTCTTTGTATGTATGTGTGTCTTATGTATGTGTCTTTGTATGTATGTGTGTGTCTTTGTATGTATGTCTTGTGTGTGTCTGTCTGTGGGGAATTGAGGAGGGAGAGGAGGGGATCTGACGAACAGATGAGAAATCATATTATGCGCAAACAGAGAAGTCGTCTGAATATCACCGAAAGAGGAGACCTTTGTTTGTTCCTTACGAAAATCGAGCCAGATAAACTTGTGGGCGGTAAGGACTTTTTTCAATCAAAAAAGATGCATTAGTGGGCGGTAGTTAGAAAAAGGTTGACTACCACTGCACTAGACATTTATTTTAGAGGAAATTGTTGCAATAGTTGTAGTGCCTTAATCTGGTGCACATAAATATACTCCTCTAAGAAGTGCATAAGCATTAAAAATGTAAAACTGAAAAATCAACAGTAACACAAGATCTGAAAAAATGAACTAGCATGCGGGGGCGGAGCCTGACGGCCAGAGATGCAGGTCGAACATGGCTAAGGCACTGCAGCCTTAGCTTGAAATACTGCTGTTTTACCCGTAAATTCATCCTAATTTTCCCTAATATCCAACTATATATTTCTAGGGGTTATCTCCCCAGAGTGAACAAGATGGGCTTTCTTGGTTCTGACGGAAGTTTACCGCTCTGGATTGCCTTGTGGCCTGCAGGAAATCCTGAGGCAGAGGAGGAGGATGATGCTCTGCCGAAGCTTGGTTTCAGTCTTACTTGGGCCCCCGCTTCCCCCAGACCAGTGGGGGGTTTCCTGGTCCACACTGGTGGGCTACTCAAAGTACTCTCAGGGACGCTCTCTGTCATATACGACATGGATGCTGGAGGGCTGTTTTATTAAATGGCCGATAACATGGGCAGTACCCTTTCACATGCCTATCAACAATCACCAACATGAGTGGACTCACTTCTACTGGCATTTGACCAGCTGTGTTCCAGATTCTGGGATAGGCTGTCTACTCGGAAGGTGACTATGTTACCTGAGAGTCCGAGGGTGCCAGTCCAGCCCGGTTCTCTGGGTGGCCAAGCTCCAGCGAAGATCCTACAGAGTCGCCAAAGAGCACCATGAGTAGTGAACAGCAAAGTGTGGAGGCTCAAGCTGACATACATTCTACCACTTCAGTCCGCTGCCGCACACTAGCACGCCGCCCAGAAGGGGGCCACATCTGCAATCGCATTTAGCACCATCTGAGAGTTCGTGCTTGGCAAGGCCTATTGTGTGCATTGAGGTGGTCTTGGTGCCCTGGTCCTGAAACTGGACACTGTCTGTCTGGAAGCAAGGGCCGGAACACATCGGCGATCGGAACTGGAGGAGTTCCACTTCGCAACAAGGTGGAATCTTACATGTATGGGTCACTTGCCTTTCCTCCACGGCATCAGCTGAGTGGGTCTGTGATCTGTTCAGCAGATTTTCCAAAGCTTTATCTGTTCTGGTTTCTACTCTGTAGTATTGATATCTAAGTGATGTGCTGTGATTACTATTAATACTGTTTAGCTGTTATTTCCTAGTTGCATTTTACTTCATTTGTTCTTTGTATGCCTAGTCTCACAGGCAGCAGGCTAATGCCATACTCTAGCACTGCATGCCTGGATATAAGTCACACACTATTCCTGATAATACTGTGATTGTGACCTGATTTTATGTCAAGACACGGAGGCGAGTATTGCATATCCCTTTCTTTACTGTCCACCAATAGCAGCAAAGGATACAAACAGTAAGAAAAAACAGTAACCATAGAGATAGGACACTCCCATATCCAGTCCCAGTATAATAGGCAGCACCTTCCCATCCAATTCCTCTTTCTTTGCTGCTACCAAACAGATAAGTACATGACTAATTCAAATCATCTGCAACAATTAACTCTGGCCACCCAGTGGTATTTAAATTCTAGAATGTTATCTACAATTCTGTTCGATATTGTTTACTACTACTAAATCCTTTGAAACTTTCCAAGGACACTTAAAAGGTATTAAAAGAGTATTTTTACTGCTTTAATATTCTCCTCTCAAAGAAAAAAAACTACTCATTGTTCTTCCCTCAAATACTAGTATCCACTCTACTGTAGGTCAACTGCAACGGTATCAACTCTATCCCACAAATTTGCTACCTTAGTGTTTTGTTTGATTCCATCCTCCCCTTCACTCCTCACATTCAGTCAATCACCAAATCCTGTCACATCTAAATTAAAAACACAGCTCGCATCTGCCCCTACCTAACATCAGATGCAGCTAAAGTGCTTTTGTCCATGACATAATCTTCTTCTGTCACTACAAGTGCAACCTGCATCTTTTTGGTCTTACACATTCCGATCTCACCCCATTACAATCCAGGTTCATCTTCTTGTCCTCTCAAACCTCCCACGTCACCCTCTTCTGTCAGTCCTAATACTGCCTTCAAATAATATTAAAATTTACAATCCTCCTTTTTACTTACAAATCACCTTATAACACTGCTCCTATCATCACTAATATATAGGCATCAACTAGGCTCCTCCGTTCTGCAAAAGATCTGTGCCCGTGATCTAATAATTCGTCTTTAGAGCTGCACCATTCCTTTGGATATTTTGTGTCTCTCAATCTGAAAGGACATGTTTTGAGGAGTGATATGTTCATCTTTCTTTGTCCTTTTTCTTGGGTATTTCTTTTCGTTTTGGCTGCAGCTCCGAAACATGCAAAATGTTTCCCTCAATTACCTCAGTATACCTTGTGATAAGGATTGTCTATAGAAACATCTCAAAACACAGTGACTTATAAAATATAATATCTCGACAGAGTGTAAAAAACTACTGAAAACAGCAGAAACTGACTGAAAATATAGAAAGTTACTTTATTTTCATTACATGTATTTTTTTCTGGACCATTTAATTCTGTTCCAGGCAATATGTTGTCCTCTCTTTTGATACTTTTTTTTCATAATTGGTGATAGTTATCCCTCTATTCTTTCCCACAGAGAATTAAGATTGCATGAAAATAGCAGGTAAGTTAATGTTCAGTCTTCAAAGTTATCTACACCACTTCCCATTAACTCTGTGCTCATATCATGCATGACTTAAGCTGCAAGACAAAGGCGAGCAACAACCGACGCTCTTCCAGACGAGGCCCCTAATGGACCTGAATTTAACATGAGGCTGCACTTGTAGAAGGGATAAATACAGGATATATATTTTACCAGAATGACATAGGGGATGGGAAACCCTGAGGCCTTAAAACTGAGGTTTCTCTTGGTGAAGGATTATGGGATTGAGCTACAGTAAAAGCCTACAGCCATGCAGAGTCTCTGCATTAACAAGGTTCCGTTATACTTGTGGTATTACAGTTACGTCTCTAGGTGCCTCTCGCAGGCCGGATGTAGGGATATTCCAACTTAAAATAACTGCCATGTTTCAGACTTTGTCTTTATTAACTTATCCACACAAGCACTTTACTACCAACAGTTTGTAAAACCTTAAATAATGTATGCAGGTATACATAAATCACGCACGAGCCCAGCTTGTTTTTTTAAAGAAACACGCTAACACTTTTTAAATTTAGTTGCGTTACTTGTTTTTAGATTACTGAGCCCTTATTTTTGTAAAATCCATTAAAATTACAACCATTCATTAAACTTACCTTTACTGCCGTGCACAGATTCCTCACTTTCAACCAACCCTGATCCAGTAAAGTCATCAAGCGTGATTATCTGTGGCCAATCAAATACATCTATTCCACCCCAATCTCTTCATTAAGGTGAAATGATTTTGGTGCTTAGACTGTACGTTTAAACGATGATTATTGTCATATTCTAGGCAAGTTATTCTTGTCATTCTTGACTGGGACTGAACATTTTTAATGGATTTCCATTAATTGTAACTTGTTCTGACATTGTATATCATGCCCCTGCTAACTGTTGGACACAGTATCTGTATGGGATACAGTATCTGAACCCTTTTCCCATTGTAATGGAGACCCTTCTGACCTCAAGAGTTGTCCAATGAAGGCGATCTGCAGAATCCATTCAGTATTCCTTACATTACAATAAAAGAATGGGTACATTTTAACAGCAACAGCAGGAAAAAACAAAACCAAATTAGAAATGGAAAAATGCATTGCCCAGCATATTTTTCACTTTTTTGTTTTTCCTCCTCTTTGTACGTTATATGTTTATTTTTTTCAATAAATTCTTGTTGATTTTTAAAAATGTTGTCCATTCTGCAATAACCAAAACGTTCGATGTAAATGTAAGTCTATGTGCGTATCACCTGGTAAAATCCTTGTGAGGCTCAGTAGACAAAAAATGTTCAAGTTTGGAGAGGACACTACAATTCTAGTTTAAACTTACCATAGAAGGCGTTAGTTGATAGTACAAGTATCTCTTGTTTTCTGTTTGTCCCATCAAAAGTAGTTTAAAAAAAATTTTTTGCGGGGGAAGAAAACAATATATATGTTTCTCAGCAGGAGACTAATTTTAATTAGTTGGAGAGGAGGAATTATCAAGAGGCAAAAACAAGGATTCTTTGATCCATATAGCTTTGTCTAATCGGATTTCTCTATCAATACTTGCCATTCATTTTGTACTTAGCATAAAACTGGATTAGGGAATTTAAAAAAAGGGGGTCTTATGTAGACAGCACAATTACATCTCATCTACATTTAACCATTATATCCTAAATTCTTTCTTTCTGACATTTTATTCTAGCAAAATCCGTTTCATTTTTCTCCTTTCTTTTGCATTTTTGTCCCTTGGAAATATTTAGGGGCCTCTGCTCTGAATGACTGTTCTAAGGCGCTCTTTATTTTAAGCTTTTCATTAAAATGCTTGTCCTGAAATACAGACTTTGTTTTTGGGGCCTGTCCAAGACTCTGTGAATTGGCTCTCTCATTAACCAGACAATGCCATTATTTTTAGTGCTACCCTGAGATAGAATTACTGGCATGGGAAATGATGCGGTGCTAGGGAAGGAGGCAGCGGGTATTTCAGAGACAAGTTGAGCTAATGAACGTGTAGGTTTAGCAATAACCAGTTGTTGAGCTTTACATCCATCCATGGTCAGTAACCTCATGATGTCTTTCACATTCTAGAAATAATAAAGTCTAAATATGTTCCAGTCCTGGTATTTACAGATAGAAATAATGTTATTACCATATCTTGTAGCTTCAAGATTGGTAAAGGAATACTAACAGATTGTCTCCTTTTTGCATGGTGCATTTCATAACTCACCATGAGTGCTTGCTCATGGCAAAAGTGAAGGCGTCTCGTAGAGAAACATTGCCAGTAAATCCTTGTTCTCGGAAGGTTACCTTTGCCACACAGATCCTGCATTACACAAATTAACCAGATTTTCAATCCTTCCAGTAGTCAATCACTGTCTTCTTATAATTTGCCTCCTTCCCCCTTAGTATGGTTTGAAATACCATACAGATAATAACAGGACAGTGATTAGCTACATGGATAGAGTCAATTTAGGATCTCAGTTCGCACTGATCTCTTACTGATCTTACTTTTCAATCAGGAAAACATTTGTAAAAATGGGAGAGGTGGTAAGCGGTTGGGGCCTGTTGCAGTAATTTGCAAAACTTTATTTTTCTTTTTTTTTCAGCACACCTGTTATGGCACTGCCGTGTACTCACCCACTCCTGGGCGCCCGTGGTGTACTCGTGGTGGAGCCACTGAGCTCGCCGCTCTCCAAGCCTCCTCTCCCGGGTCTGCGGCGGTTCCCTCTCTCTCTCTTGCTGTCGATGTCCGCGGCAAGTGAGCCATCGTGAAAAGATGGCGGCCGCCACGTGAACTCTACGTTCTGGACAAGGAGGGGGAGGAGAGCTGCGGATCTGGTCAGAGACTGTAATGTAAGCCAAGATGGCGCTGAGTCCCTGACCTCCTTTTATAGACCATGCTTACTCCGCCTGATGCAGGGAGGTGGCTGATCACATGACACTGTCTCCCTAGTTAAACCTTGCATGCCTCCCAGTCAGTGCTTGGTATATTCCTTACTCCTTTATCCTAGCCTATTGACCTGATTCCCTGTTTGCCTTCCTGGTTCCTGATCCTTGGACTCCTGGTCGACTACTCTTGCCTGCTGCCTGACTCCGGATTGTCTAACTACGTCTTCTGATTTACCCCTTCTTGGATACTTCACTTAGCTTCTTCCCAATAAAGGCCTCCGTGCCACCATAGACCTTTCAGGACCCTGTAACCACTTCCAGATTGTAAGGGAGTGCTATTCTGCTGCAATTGGGTTCTGTCACCATTGCAATAACCTAGGTGGGTGTGACAAAACCAAAGAGATTTGAACAAGGACAAAATAGTTCCTTTAAACTGAATACTAGAGTTAAGCAAACCCGGACTGTAAAGTTCGGGTTCGTACCGAACATTAAGTTTTTGGGACCCCGGACCCTAACAAGGACATATCACTGTATGTTCGGGTTGGAGTTCAGTGTCCAGCGATTTAATGACATGTTTTGAACAATAAGGGGGGGGGACCTACTGTCCTCCCCCCCTCCCACCCCCGCCCCTGAGCGGCGGGTGGGGGCCCATAAATAAAAATTGGGGGGGGGGACCTGCAAGGTGGGTAAGGGCCCTAAATAACAATAAGGGGGGACCTACTGTCCTCCCCCTCAGACCCCCACCCCTAAGCGGCGGGTGGGGGCCCTAAATAAAAATGTAACCCCCCCAGGTGACTAGGGGTCCCCAAGCCCCTAGTCACCCCTCTCCCCCCAAAAAAATAACCCCTACCTACCCCCCTCATCCTAAAAATAATGAGAGGGGGTGGGGCCCTTATCTAAATACCTGTAAAAAACAATAGAAAAAAATAATCAATTTTCACCCATGGAGGGCAGACTTATAAAGCCTTGCCCCGCCCTGCAATTAGGCTCAGAGCACCCTGATTGGTGGGTTTAAGCCATCCAATCAGAGTGCTCTGACAGGTAAATGAAGAGACTGACAGGTAAGTCTCTACATTTACCTGTCACAGCACTCTGATTGGTTGGCTTGAAATCCACCAATCAGAGTTCTCTGTGTCATTTTACACAGCGTGGGAAAGTTCTTTGGAATTTTCCCACGCTGTGTAATTTGACTCATAACACCCTGATTGGTTACTTAATCCACCAATCAGAGTGCTCTGTGTCATTTTACACAGCGTGGGAAAATTCCAGAGAACTTCATGGGTGAAAATGGATATATATTTTTTGCACTCGTTTTTTTTTTAAGTGCGTAGGTTATTATGGATTTTTATTTGGCCTTTTTTGGGGCTGAAAAAAGAAGAGTTTAGAAGACAGAAGACATCAAATGGTAAGTCTTTTTTTTTTTTTTACAGGTATTTAGATAAGGGTCCCCCCTCATTATTTTTAGGATGAGGGGGGTAGGGGTTATTTTTTTGGGGGGGAGAGGGGGGAGAGGGGTGACTAGGGGTTTGGGGACCCCTAGTCACCTGGAGGGTTACATTTTTATTTAAGGTCCCCACCCGACAGTAGGTCCCCCCTCCACATTCTTATTTAGGCCCCCCACCCATCGCACAGGGATGGGGGCAATAGGTTGTTTTTTTTTACAGTGAGCAGCCACTGGCTGCTCACTGTTTACTAGACATGCCCCTAATCGCAGTATAGCGAGTAGGGGCTGAATTTACTAATACTAAGTACTCTTTACTTAGTATTAGTAAATTTGGATGAAAGACCAATTTAGGTCTTTCAGCCTTTTGGTAGATAGCTCCCTAATACCGTTGGAATTAGGGAGTTATCTACTAAGTGGCTGCTTATTGTATGTATTTTATGTTATTTTAAGTGATTTCCCTATCCACATTTGTTTGCAGAGCACTTGTCCTACTCTTACCCCCATTTTACTTTCCAGGACTTTTTTACAGGCATTTTTGTGCCCAAAAGTTCAGGTCCCCATTGACTTCAATGGGGTTCAGGGTCAAGTTCGATACCGAACCCGGACTTTTTTTCAAAGTTTGGCCGGACCGGACCATCCAGGTGTCCTCTCAACTCTACTGAATACCCAAACAGAACACCAATAACTGCAGGAGTATCAACTAGAATTCTAAAATTAGATGCCAAATAAAACATTCAACTTCCAGTAGGAATGTAAGCAGGACTCAGTACAAAATGTCATAGCTGTGTTATGTCCCTTTGTGAGAGAGTTTCATTTAGCTCAAAGGTAGATATGCTTTCTAACACTCTCCAGCAGTGTGAATATATGTTTAGATAAAGTTGTCTGTAATTCCAAAAATACATACTGTTAATAGGTACGACCAACATCCTGTTACATTACTGATTTCAATTTACAGTATAGAAAGGTTTGAAAAATTATTAGGAAATACTTGCCAGTTCTATTTAGCAATGATAGAATGTACATATTGCCCTTTCTGGGATACATAAAGTGGCCAGACAAGCTCCTTATTTGTCTCAGCAAAAAAGCTCACTTGGCTTCGCTATGCTCTGTGGTAAAACTCGGCAATGTGTTTAGTTGTTCAGTGACCAACGAAAATGATCGAATTAGGCAATATATCAATTGTAGCAACTCCTTTGGGATTTATTTATTAACTTGCCAGATTTGTTTTATTCAATATGTTGCCAAACTACAAGACTTAGAGTCATTGAGCATGAAATGGCGTTAATTCTCCAATAGCATGCACTTTTCTCCATGCAATAATTTAGATGCCTCTAGACATTCAGTACAGGACTATACTACCATCCTCATGGTTGTTGACAGATTTTCCAAAACGGTGCAATTTTACCATTCCCCACGGTGCCATCTGATGTCGAGCTTGCCAAGGTGTTTGTGAAATAGATGGTTTGGCTCCACGAGCTGCCCCGTGAAACTGTTTCCGACAGTAGGAGCCAGTTTATCTCTTGGATTTGGAGGAGCTTTTGTGATGAGATGGGCATCAGGCTCTTATTTTCCTCTGTCTATCATCTCCAGACCAATGGTGCTGCTGAGAGGTCTAACCAGTCTCCATATCAGTACCTCTGTTGTTTTGTCTCTGAAAACCAGGACAACTGGTCAGAATTGATGTCCTGGGCAGAGTTTGCCAGAAATAATGCTAATTATGATGCCTCCAGGCACAGTCCTTTCTTGGTAAATCACATGTTTCACCCTACAGTTCTTCCTATGGGAGGATCTGTGTCTGGAATCCCCACATTGGATGGCAACCTGGCTGAACTCCGGTTCCTTTGGGTGCGAGTTAAGGATATCTTGGGCTGTTCGCTACTGCTCCAAAAGAGACACACTGACCATAGGCGCAGGTCAGCTCCTTTGTTCCAGGTTGGAGACAATCTAGTTGTCCACTCTGAGCATTAAGCTCTGTTTTGTCACTCCCAAACTGGCTCCCAAATTTACTGTCCCCAACCATCCATCACGATGGTCAACCCAGTGACCTATACCCTAGCTCTGCCTTAGAACCTCAAGATTCCCAATATCTTTTAATGTTCTGCCTCTCAAACCCTTGGTGTGCAATAAATTCACTCCACTTCTTGTCTATGATCATGAAGCATACGAAGTTCAGGAGTCTGTCGACTGAGGCAGGTTACAATACCTTATTGATTGGAAGGGGTATGGTCCAGAGGAGAGATCTTGGACCCAGTGGGTCTTCCTTAGGGGAGGGGGGATTAATATCAGTTAACATACCCCTGGTTCTCACTTCCTGATGATCATAGACAAGCACACTGCTTGTTGTGCCACTCTGGAACCTGTGTAAACAGACGCTTATCTGTTTTATTCTGACCCACCTGATACTTTCTGATTACTTGGCTTTGAAGAACATATTTTTGCAAGCAAGAGCCAATCAGGTTCAGGACCTCCCTATTCAAGGAGAGCTATCTGGGTCCAAAAGACCCTTTCGTGGTTCCTGTATCGTTAGTGTTATTTTGACATGGTTTACCTGACTATATTCTGCTCTATTGCCCTTGTAAACCAGACCTAGCCTGTATGCCTTCAGCCTGATTTTGTGTATCAGTACCTGGCCTGTCTGACTTCCTGTTCCGCATACCAGTCCCTGGTTTGTTCTAGACATTGTTTTTCTCATGCTCCTGATACTTGCTTTGCTTGTGTTTGGTATTGTGTGTTTTATTGTTTGTTCCTCTCCTGCTTTATGTTAAACTGACCTTGTTGGGTAAAACACCTCTTCTTGCTGAGTATCCTCTAGCCAACCCAGATAACTACTTAGTCAAATTTTTTATTTATATGTTACTAACCGATTACATTTATCTCTACAGACAAGTCTTTTTCTCATGCTGATTTGCTTTTATTTATTTGTATCCATTTTTCATTATTATATTATACTGGTTTTCTTATTTGACTTCTGCATTTCTTTCTTAAGGTTATAATTGCTTTTCATTGAGTTATTTTTGTTTATCGTTGTCTGAAATGTTAAATGTCGCTGTATTCTACTCACTTGACTTGTTCATGGAGGCATATGTCTCCTCCTCAATTAATTGACCATTGGTTTTAATGTTTAAATATCCCAGCACTTATCAGCATATTATGCCTAACATTAAGTGCTATGTTGCACGATACACGTTAGGTGACTTCCTTGGCGATGTGCTTTTTTTCCTGATTTATCCTTTTTTTTTTTTTTTAAATAAAGGTTGATATAATACTATCTGTAGATTTTGGGATTTTTGATGCAGTCTTCATAGACTCCAAAATCTTTTATTTTTGTGTTTATTTGAGAGAGTTCAATTATCCAAGATTATAGTTATGTGAATGTAATGTTAATTTAAAGCTAATAATTATTTACAATTTTAAGGCAGTTCCCATCTTAGCAAACTCTAAAATCTATCTCCTGTCCATTCTGATATGTGTGCAAGTGCAGGGAGGTTAGAATTTGGCAATATACTGATAACATGTTGTTAGCTGCTTTAAAAGACAGAGTATGAAAACTGAGAGAGAGAGAGAGAGAGTGTGTGAAAGGACTCTTGTGCAGTACGGGAAACAAGTCTTTTGATGCATTTAGAGGAGATGGTTGGAGAAAAACAAGTCATTGACTGGATTATTCAGAACTGTATGCTCAGAGGAATGTTATTTCCCTCGTAAACATAAAATGGCCCCTGGTGCTTCAGACAGAGATACGAAGGGCCCACAGGGACAGTTAGTTTCAGGGATCTACTGTTGTTTTGCAAGAAAATCCAGAAAAAAACATATTCATACATTAATGCATATTACAATATATAATATCCAGTTTGTGTGAGATATTTGTGGAGGAAAGAAATGAGACAGGGAATGAAACAACCTACATTTGCCATTTGGCTTTCATCTGTTGTGAACCTGTTCTGTGTAGATAATACACCCAGGAAAAAAAAAAAAAAAAATTTCCCTTCCCAAACATGTCAATCATGCCTCATGGGAGTTGGTTCAAACTGAAGAATTTTTACACGGAGTGCTGAGATTTAAACCCCAAATTATATGCTCTAAACAATGGAGAAAGTGCCATAATTCCTAAAATGCAGCATAATCAAAAAATGCTATAGATCTGAGGGGACTTGTCTTGCACTTTTAAACTGTTTAGCATTGGCAGTAGCGTCACGCCATCTTGCTCTGGGATAGTTTTGGCCCATTTGGGTCCTTGTCAAGCTGAAGGATGTGGTGTTGCCAGGTCACCTTTGCCGTAATTGTAAGCTTAGACTACTTTTGGGGAATTAGAATTTTATCTTATGTTAAATTGGTAACCGGAGGTGGAAATTCTTATTGATGATCCCATCATATCATATAGTGACTCTCTGTGAACTCTTTCCACACTATATTATTTGCTGTGTCAGAATGCCAGGTGGGAAAATAAACAGATTTCTTGTGAAACAAAGTGAAGTAAAGGGATAGACTTTCATATGGCAAGCTGGAGTCTGTCGTAGAACAGCAGTATACAAAAGTGCAGAAATGAGGTACAAAAGGGTATGCAGTAGGTTATGCTCTAAACTTTTGCAGCCATATAATTTCTGCTTTTAATCTCTCCCATTTTTAATTTTTTTAAATTCTTTATTTATCAGTTCACGTATATAGAGCTATGTACTTTTTCGAAAGACAATCAATGGGTATAACATACACTATTGTGCCGCAAGTGTGGAGGTTCTGAGAGTTCCACATAGGATAACACACAAGTCCTTATGGTATATAAACATTTGTGTCACAGTAGTGGAGTTGATAATAGGTGAGCAGAGTTAGCATGCATGTGCAGTTTGTGCACAGAATGGTGTGATTTGTCATCTTGCCCATGCAATTGAGTACATTTAGTCCTGTTGTAGAACAGTTTGAGGGGAACCTTAAAGATTCCTCATTGCTCACTAGTGGTAGTGTGCCTCAATAACTCCATCTATCTCTCCCATTTTTAGTACTGATGTCTCGGCGGACATTTTGAAAAAGTGTTTATATGGATCAATTATTGTATTAATTTTTAGGGATGTGCATGGGGAAAATATTTGGTTTGGTTTGGTACTTCTGAAATTTGGCACTTCGGCACTTCTGAAATTCGGGACTTCGGCAATTTGGCACTTTGGGACTTCGGCAATTCTGGACTTCGGCAATTCGGAACATTGGCAATTCCCTAACCCTACCCCTAAACTATCCCCTAACCCTACACCTACACTAACCCCCAACTCTAACCCTACCGGCGTTGGGGTTAGATTAGGGGTAAGGGTAGGGTTAGGGTTAGATTCCTGTCATCATTCCCTTAATTTCCCCTCCCTCTCCTGTTTTGCCACTTTTCAGAAATCCAAAGCACTTCAGCACTGCCGAAATTCGGCACTTCTGCAATTCGGTTTGGTTCGGTACTTCCAAAATTCGGCACTTCTGCAATTTGGGATTTCGGGACTTTGGCAATTCGGTTCGGCACTTCCAAAATTCGGCAATTCGGACTTTCGGAAGCATTCGAATGTCCGAATTGCTGAAATTTGTGCGAATTTAGATTCAGACCGAAATTAATTGCACATATCTATTAATTTTAACACATTGTGTCTTGTAAAATTGTATTTTGCCCAGTGTAACCATTCTAATTATTTATATTTTAATAAAAATATACAATGATTATATTGATTTAAAAATGCTCCTTACTCAATTATGGGAAATTTGACTTGGGATATGCTGGAGATTCTATAACAGGTCTTGTTCTTTATAGGTGGAATTGGCTGTGTTGGTCCAGACAGAGGACAATCCCGAATTTGCCTTGATGCTGTTGAGATATACAGTACTGATGGCGATTTTTGGAGGGAAGGTCCTGTGATGCCCATTCCACTACTCTCACTTAGGACAAACTCAAGCTGTGCTGGAGCAGTGGATGGGCGATTGTATGTCTGTGGGGGATTTCGTGGAGCAGGTAGGATATAACAACTATTAACCTTTCTAATTTACATTTGTTCATTACTAGTACCTATTACCACTGTACATGAAGAGCAGTCTGTCATAACCCCCGGATTAAGGTCCACAACTGGGCCTCTGTGCTATTATCAGCAGGGTTCTCAAAAGAGTTACTGAAAGCGGGTACCCGATTTCAAGAGTGAAAATCTAACAGACCTCATTCAACTGTGTACAGTTAATAGATTAGTACATCTTTTCCATGTTTGAATACGCTTCTTAACCTGGAAAGAGTCTACGAAATGTATTTATTTTAGAATGCATATTACAATTAAAGAATGGAAAGGGGGTCACTGAATTACAGAGCCAATGTCATGGGTATCATTTGGGTATTTGTGAAAATTCCAAACAATTCACAGTTTAGTGATTACCCCTAAGATTCTTCAAGAAGGATATATTGGGATTTTTGTTGGGTTTTTAACAAAAAATAAATAAATTTAAGAATGCGCATAATTTATACTGGTATAAACAGTTTACTAATATAAGAGCAACCATCATCATTATGTATTTTTAACAAAGAAAGAGGGCTATAAATTGGGTGGTTTAAAAAAAAAATATGAAAAAGCAAAATCTAATAAATTATGCTAATCTACATTCATATTATCCATGGGACACACAGCGAGAAAAACACCAGGGGCAACAAACACCAGCACATTAAAGAGTTACTCCAAGCACAATGACAACTTTAGTGAATTGAAGTGATCATGGTACCTGGAGTTTGAATGAGCAGCGTTTCAGTAGCAAACTGGTAGCGTTTCAGTAGCAAACTGGTAGCGTTTCAGTAGCAAACATTAGTTGACTGGTAGCGTCATTGGAACTCATTAGCAATCCTAGAACAAGATAGTATTAATTCTGTGCAATATTGGTGTCTGACGCAAGCACATTCAGCTTGCTGATGCCCTAATGCCAAGGGTGGTACCCCCCAATATAAACACTGTTTTTTGGTTGGAGTCCCCTAGTAATTGTCTAAGGTCATGACTGAAACTGGGCCATGGAGTTCCGCTCGGAACAGGAGTTTCTGTTTCCTGTACCCGGTCGGACTGACAGGAAGGTGCACACTGAGCGTGCACCTTCCTATCACTCCGGCCGGCCACCGCGGACAGCAGAGCGGCTCGGCCACGCTACAGGGGAGGGGTAAGAAGGGGGTGAATAGAGGGGGAGGGTAAGAAGAGGGAGGGGGAGTGGGGAATAAGAGAGGGAGGGGAGTAAAGGGAGGGGGTAAGAAGAGAAAGAGGGAGTAAGAAAGGGGGAGGTAAGAAGAGGGGGGTAAAAAGAAAGGGGAGGGTAAGAGGGGAGGGAAGTAAGAAAGAGGGAAGGGAGTAAGAAAGGGGGGAGTAAGGGGGTAAGAAGGGGAAGTAAGAAGAGGGGGAGGGGGGAGTAAGAAAGGGGGGTAAGAAGAGGGGGAGTAAGAAGGGGTAAGAGGGGGAAGGGGAAAAGAAGTTCTTTATTTGAAATTTAAAGGACCACTCTAGGCACCCAGACCACTTCATCTTTATGAAGTGGTCTGGGTGCCAGGTCCCTCTAGGATTAACCCTTTTTTTTATAAACATAGCAGTTTCAGACATGATTGTTTGGTTACCGAATCTTTGGCCTGTCCCATTTTTCCTGCTTTCTCTGAACCTTGACCTCGGCTTGTCTTATCGAGTATTCTGTCTCTCTGGTTCCCTCTGACTTTGGCTTGTACTCTGACTTCTCTCTGTGTGCACAGCCCGGCCACTCTAAGGAGCAGTACTGCACTTCCTGTGTCTGTGTTCTGTCAGCGTGTGTGGTTCCGGAGTTCGTGACAATTAGAAAATGGTTTGACTACTTACAATGGGGATAGAACCAAGGTGTAGCATCAGAACTACTACAGCACCCTGTGTTGATCAAATTAGCTGGCATTTTCCTCTTAATGGCATCTCAAAGTTCCTGTTGGTGGTTGCAACTGTGTTGAGGGTGTCCATCATCAAAAGGGGACTTAGGGTAGCGCAGATGCCAGAGTGTGGGTAACCCCAAAAACAGAATCCAAAGAATTTAAAATATCATGCAAAAATGTCAATTTCTGTTAGTAGATTACTCGGGAAATAGGTTGGCACACTCTGAAACTGATGCAGGAAATCTGAAGGTCCATTGGTGGACACAAGGCTCTGGTTGAATGGATCTTGGTAAACATGTCATTCAGGTGGCAGTGAAGTTATTCAATAGCAATTCTTCATACCGTAGTACAGGGGCATAACTAGAAACCTCAGGCAATACAGTGGAGGTGGCCAATAGATAGATAGATAGATAGATACTCAGCTGCCGTACAAACCCCTTGATATTTGGCCAGCTGTGGATCTATTCACTTATCCTTGCAGGGTTCTATCTGTATGCAGTATCTGTAAATGTAGTTTTTGTATGGAGTATAATTTTTGTGAATGTATGTTCTTTTGTGTATAACGAGGATTTTTGAATGCATGGGGTTTGTTTGTGTGTGGTATTGGTGTTTGAATGCAAGGATGTTTGTTATGTAGTGTTAGTGTATGAATGCAGTTGTATGTTTGTCTGTAATGTTGACATGTGAATGCAGGGGTGTGTTTCTGTGTAGTATTAGTGTTTGAACGCAGGGTGTATTTGTGTGTAATATTGGTGATTGTATGCAAATATGTATTCACAAATATATATGCACTACCAGATGCACATACATGGGCACATTGCTGTAGAGAGAAACACTCATACACTACCTATACTGCAATATTTTAATAGTGTCTCTGCTTTCCAGTGGATGTAGCAGTCATATTCTTCCAATGTTTTATTCTCAACTTAGAACTCTATCCCTACCCCCAATTAGGATTTCTACATTGGGAGTCTGAATGCATGTTCTTTTTAATTAGTATTACCATTACATTATGATTGGTGTGTTTTTTTTAATTAACAGCAATTGCAGATTATTGTGAAGCTCTCATTTCCAGGGTAGATCTTTTATTTTTTAATTATGATTTTTTTTTTAGTTAAATACATTTACTCATTAATGACATTAATTTTCTTTCCAGTGTTTTTTCATTTCTGTCTGTCATGTACATGCCCTTCCATGTCTGTGACACTATGTGTACACATGGACATGCATTCCTCACAAACTATCTATTAATTAATACACAAATTACCGTCAGATCCTGTTATTCATTTGCTTGAATGTATTTGCCCTCCAATAACCCCCTGAAATGCCATTATGTGACTTCACCTCTTTCAAAGGGATTAAATCTGTAATACTCATCTCTGCACCCGCTGCTAAAATGTGACTCTAATCTGGCATTCTGCATTCTGCTGGCATGAACATGTTAGAAAGAGAGCATAGAAAGCAAAGCTGGTATTGTCCTGGTCAGTTAAGGAATAAGAAAAAAGAGCAAGAGAAAAAGAAATCCTACAATCCTGAGAATTTTGCCTGAAATACTCTGCCCAGGCCTTGAAAAGCAGGCTGTTCACCCTGCGAGCTTGCCAATTCACAATGATAACCAGTCTATTCACCCTGAGAATCTGCTTATTCAACCTAGAATCCCACTTATTCACCCTGTGAATCTGCCCATTTACCCAGTTAACCTACTAGTTTCCTGAAAACCTTCATACTTAGAATCTGCCCATCCAACACGAGAATCTTAGAACTTGAAAAATCTGCTCTTTCATTCTGAGAAGACCTAACCATTCATGATGGAAAGCCTCCCAGTTTGCCCACTCACACTGAGAATCTTCCCAATCACCCTAAGACCCTGAGAACCTCCCCATTTACCCCAGGACCTTAAAAATTCACTGCAATAACTTGAGAACCTGCCCCTTTAGCACACGAATATAATAATTTTACCGGCTACTGTGAGACCTTGAAATTTTTCTATTAACTATGGTGAATCTGGTATTTTTACTTGGAATCTGTTCTTCACCTTGAAAACTTGTCCTGATAACATTATTTTCCCCCTTTGGGCATCAACACCTGCACAATATCTAACCATTTAATGTGGGATACAGAGTATCTACCCAATCACTCTTAAAGCCTCAATGCGTGTAACCTATAAAACCTGTCTTGTACTTATCCCCTACATTTTACAATTATTTATTTGTGAGCTTATAAATAAAATAAAATGTAATCATTTTTTAAAATAAAATTAAATCCACATGTCTTTATCCTACAACTGCGTGCTACCTGTCAATCATTGTTAAAAGCTCTATCTTTCGCACCGAAAAATAATGAATACATTACGTGTGGAGCAATCGATAAATATACCAATCTTGGCTGCCTGTGCCGTAGGCAAGGTCCCTGTCCCACAGGATAGATTCCTCTTTTTATTTTACACCTGGCAGTCAGCATAGAGAAAGCATACAGAAAAACTGAGAAATTAAGTCTTGATTTTTCATCCTTGTTTACAATGTGTGCCCTGCTGTGCCTGGACTGGACTAGATTGTTATGTTATGTGATAAATACTCATTTAAAAAAAAAAATGAAGCATCACATAAAAAAATGTTTCAATGTGATGAGACAATTCCCTACCAATTTCCATACCAAAAAATATTTCACTATACTGTCACAATGGGAGGTATGCAAGATGACAAGGGCATCACATCTCCAAGTATAGCTCTCCAGACATCCTAAATGTTTGACAGTAAGAGCAGGGCACCTGTGATGTTTAGTTCATAAATACAATTTCCATGAGAATAATTTTACATTCTGCTTCTATCTCTTTATCCACACCATAGAATAGTTACATCATTCATTGCAAATATCAAGCACTTTCGCTTCAAGTGAAGTTGACAGATTGCTAAATGATTGTGTGAATTTTTAGGCTCCGTCAGACTGAGATTTTTGTTTAAAAAAAACAAACAAACAATAGGTTAACCTCTTCAACGAAATTGGTTTTCAAAGCTAATAGGACTGTGCAGAATATCTGCTTTAACCCAGAGCACAGCAGTCTGTGTATCCGAGACATCTTTAATTTCCTCTTTATATAAAAACTCGGCTATGTCTTGTGGGAGACTTTCCCATGATTCTGATTTTTTTTTTTCTTTTCTTATAAAGGAATAGATCTTATTTCCCCTGAGAGTATATCCTGAAGCTCCTGAGCATTCCAACCCACAATGAGCTCTGAAATAAGCTTCCTTCGCTGTGAATTTAATAGCTTCTGCAACATTCGTCTCTATCAGATTAGACATAACAAACATTGTGCTTCTTTAGGTTTAGTTCACTAAACAGAGTAAAATTGGTAACCGAGTTACAAAACGTAGTCCAAAAAAAGCAGTAGAGGAGGAGAAATTTTACCATGCAGCTAATTTTGATCTAGATTTTGTAAATTAGATGTTGTCCACAAGAGTCAACATGACACCATTAAACCCTTTATCTAGCATCTATAATCTCAAGCTTTGGTAGACTGACTGAAGTCTAGAGCCGTTTTGCTCAATCTTTTTGTAATTAAGTTCTACTAGGAGTAGATGTTTCTATCATTATATCCTTATTGTTAACTATAATTCAGTAGCCCAAGTATCACAATATCAAACATATTTGAAAATATATTTTCAGTAAAGTACCATATGTGTATGTATATATATATATACAGTTGTGCTCAAACGTTTGCATACTCTGGCAGAAATAGTGAAATGTTGGCATTGATTTTGAAAATATCACTGATCATGAAAAAAAATCATTTTATTAAAGGATAGTGATATAATGAAGATATTTATCATCACATATTTGTTTGGCTCATTTTAAATCATAATGATAACAGAAATCACCCAAATAAACCTGATCAAAAGTTTGAATACCCTTGAATGTTTAGCCTTGTTACAGACACACAAGGTGACACACACAGGTTAAAATGGCAATTAAAGGTTAATTTCCCACTCTTGTGGCTTTTAAATTTCAATTAGTGTCTGTGTATAAATAGTCAATGAGTTTGTTAGCTTTCATGTGGATGCACTGAACAGGCTAGATACTGAGCCATGGGATGCAGAAAATAACTGTCAAAAAAACCTGTGTAACAAGGTACAGAAACTTTATAAAGATGGAAAAGGATATAAAATGATATCCAAAGCCTTCTAAATGCCAGTCAGTACTGTTCAGTCACTTATTAAGAAGTGGAAATGAGGGGATCTCTTGATACCAAGCCACGGTCAGTTAGAACAAGAAATATTTCAGCGATAACTGCCAGAAGAATTGTTCAGGACACAAAGAATGGGACACTTCTGGACTTTCCAGCATGACAATAATCCAAAGCACAAGGCCAAGTTGACCCTCCAGTGGTTACAGCAGAAAAAGGTAAAGGTTCTGATCTGGAGTGGCCATCACAGTCTCCTGACCTTAATATCATCAAGCCACTCTGGGGAGATCTCAAACGTGCCGTTCAGGCAAGACAGCCAAAGACTTTGCATGACCTGGAGGCATTTTGCCATGCAAATGGACATCTATACGACCTGCAAAAATTAGGGGCCTCATAGACAACTATTACAAAAGACTGCACACTGTCAACGATGCTAAAGGGGGCAATACACAGTATTAAGAACTAAGGGTATGAAGACATTTGAACAGGGGTTATTTCATTTTTTTCTTTGTTGCCATGTTTTGTTTTATGATTGTTCCATTCTGTTATAACCTACAGTTGAATATGAGTCCCATAAGAGATAAAGACCGAGAGATCGAAACGTTGATATATTTTTCAACTTACATCAACATCAAACAAATTTCTATTTTTGTCTCTTTCCATAACTGTCTTCAGAGTTTCTTCCTTTTTTTATATTTCCATGTAGATTAAGGAAGACATTGCATCATAAATGTCAGTTATAGGCGTAGATACATAAAATACACAATGTACACCATGTTTGGTATTCACTACATGTGCTATTCATATATGGCTCTTAAATATTTCCATTTGGGTTATTTTTGGGGTTATACAAATAGTTAAAGATTATATTGCTAATTTTTCCTTAGAATTGGTGTAAGGGGAGAAAGGAACAAAGAAAGTTCAATTTTATCTTTAAGTTTGTCCCACATGGAAAGACAATGGGTAATGGTTGGAGATGTTTGTTGTAGAAGTGGGAGGTGTTGTGTAGGGATCCACATGTAGAAAGAGGGATGTTCCCAGATCTACCCATCGTTTACTTTCAGGGATGTATGCCACTGTTGCATATGAGTACGCTGTGCTGCATTGTAGTAATGAATAAAGTTGGGCAGACCTAACCCACCATGAGTTTTAAGGAAGTACATGCAGGGCCGGCGCGTCCATAAGGCGGCACAGGCGGCCGCCTTAGGGCGCACCGGCTCTGGGGGCGCAAAATTCCAGTGACCGGCAGGAGGGAAGTGCTCCCTCCTGCCAGGTCACCTCCTGGATCCCCGGCGCGGCGTGCGGCTGAATTGGATGCCGAGGGAGCTCTGATCTCTCTGATCTGCTCCCTCGCAGGCTGTTTACTGATGACGTCATATTCCGGCTCCCGCGGCATCAGTCAGCAGCCTGCGAGGGAGCAGATCAGAGAGATCAGAGCTCCCTCGCCACCTCGGATTCCAGTTCATTGCACGCCTCCCAGCAGCCCCACTGGACCACCAATGAGAGACCCACGCCAGCTCTCCAGGTAGGGAGGCTGGGTGGGAAATTTAAATTTAATTAAGATTATTAATTTCTGTGTGTGTGTGTGCATGTGAGTATGTGAGTCTGTCAGTGTGTGTGTGACTATGTGAGTTTGTGTGTGAGTGAGTATGTCTGTCAGTGTGTGTGTCTGTCAGTGTGTGTGTGTTAGTATGTGTGTCTGTCAGTGTGTGTGTGACTATGTGACTGTGAGTTTGTGTGTGTGTGTGTGTGTGAGTGAGTATGTCTGTGTGTGTGTGTGTGTGTGTGTGAGTGAGTATGTCTGTGTGTGTGTGTGTGGGAGTGAGTGAGTATGTCTACAGTGGAGGGAGTGTGTCTACTGCGCGTGTGTGGTATGTGTGTTCACGTGTGTGATCATGTGAGTTTTGTGTGTGTGTGTGTGTGAGTGAGTGCACCTGTCAAAAGTGTGTGTGTGTGAGTGAGTGTGTCTGTCAGTGCGTGTGTATGTGTGTCTGTCAGTGTGTGTGTGTGAGTATGTGTGTCTGTCAGTGTGTGTGTGCATGTGAGTATGTCTGTCAGTGTGTGCATGTGAGTACGTGTGTCTGTCAGTTTGTGTGTGTGCATGTGAGTATGTCTGTCAGTGTGTGTGTGAGTATGTGTGTCTGTCAGTGTGTGTGTGAGTATGTGTGTCTGTCAGTGTGTGTGTGTGCATGTGAGTATGTGTGTGTGAGTGTGTGTGTCTGTGTGGTTCTGTCAGTGTGTGTGTCTGTGTGGTTCTGTCAGTGTGTGTGTGTGTGTGTGGTTCTGTCAGTGTGTGTGTGAGTATGTGTGTCTGTCAGTATGTGCATGTGCGCATGTGAGTACGTGTGTCTGTCAGTGTCTGTGAGTTTGTGTGTGTGTGTGTCAGTGTGTGTTTTTCAATGAGTCTGTCAGTGTGCGTGTGAGTGTCTGTCAATGAATGAGTGTGTCAGATAAGTGAGTCTGGCTGTCAGAGATGTCTGTATGTTTGTCATTGAGTGTGTGTGACTGTCAGTGTTTATACACCCCTGACTGTAGCGTGGCCAAGCGGAGTGTACCGTGGTACAGGAACTTCTGTTTCCTGTACCTGGCAGAACTTACAGGAAAAGCTCACTGTACCGGGATTCGCTCCGCTCAGCCACGCTACAAAAAAAGGTAGGAGGCACACCAGGAAGGGGAGGGGACCACTATGGGGGTGGGTGGCGCACCAAGGGACAGGGAGAGGAGGGGAGAGATATCCTAAGGTACAGGAAAAGGAGGGAGGGGGGGAGAGGAACACTAAGCGACAGCCAACAGATGGGGGAGGGGAGAGGAACACTAAGGGACAGGGAAAGGAGGCGGGAAGGGAAAGGAACAGTAAGGGTCAGAGAAGGGAGGGGACCATTAAGGGACGGGGAGAGGGGCCGGATGTGAAAGAAACACACAGCGGGGCTTGAGAAGGAAAGAGACACACACAAAAGAGCTGGGAAGAATAAAAGACACAAATGGGCTGGGAGAAAAGGAGTCACACAAAGGGGCTGGGAGGAGTAAGACACAAAATGTGGGAGGATGTAAGAGTCATACAAAGAGGAGAGATAGGAGACACACAAAGGCAAAAATAGGAGATAAAATACACTAAAGGGAGTCAGATATTTAAAAGACGGGATAAGAAACACAAAAGGGAGGTTAAGAGGCACATGGGTGAAGATGTTTTTGGGGGGGCGGAAAAATGCATCTTCGCCTATGTACCCAAAATTCTTTGCACCGGCCCTGAGTACATGGACTCTAGATTTCCTACCCTTCCAGGCAAAAGTATCTATGGTCAATTGCAGAACTTCCTATGGTCAATTGCAGCACTTCCCGAGAGGAATAGGTAAAATCTGGAATAGATAAAGGAATATAGGGAGGAGACTAATTTTGACAGTCGCCACACATTCCAGCCAGAAAACACTCAGAGGACCCCATCACTGTTAATCTCTTTTTGTATTTATAAGAGTAGGGAGTAATTTAAATTGTAAAGCTCAGAGACAGCAGAAGGGATCTTAACTCCCAGATACATAATATAAGATGAAGCTATCTTGAATGGAAAGCTGGCGCCATAAGTGTCCACCAAATTCTGAGTGAGACCTGGCTGCAGTCCTACTGCTCTTGCCAGGTCTCCTCCATGCTTTCCTGTGCGGTGTTCTGTGTGATTGGAGGAGGCGGAGTCCAGAGATGGGAAGTGACATCACCACTTTCTACTCTCCTCCTGAATCTGCAGACTGCTCCGGGACTACTAGAAAGTCTCCTGGCTAATAGAGACTCTGTCCAGCGAAGAAGGCTGCGTCTTTTGATCAGATTATTGAGGTCCTTGGTGGTAATGGAGAGACATTTTAGCTTAAGTCATATGCTTAAAAACAGAAAAAGAAATTATCATGATTACACTCTGGTATATTATGAGAAAAGCGAGGAGAGGGAAGGGAGCAGGACTCAGGCATAAGCAGGAGAAAAGGAAGAGAAGAAATGCGAGAGAGAAAATACGCACACCAGCCCTCGAATTTCCCCTCTGGAAGCCAAAGGGATATATATCTAGGTTGATTTATGTGATCAATTTCTTTGGACAACATTTCAGTGTAGCCCGATTAAACGAGAATCATGTAAATTAACATGGTTACAAACAAACAAAACAAAAACATGAAAACAATTAAATATTGATGCATTGATAATCCAAAGTTAGTAGTTACAGCATCTAATCAACTCTTTTCAATTTAAAACTCACTCCCAATCTATACCATGTATCAATTAACCGCATAATAAGAATTAAAGGGATACTATAGGCACCAAGATCACTTTATCTCATTGAAGTGCAGTGTCCCTTAGTCCTGCAATGTAATCCCTTCCTGGATTCTAACGCGGTCTGACTACCTTACACGAAGCTGCACGTCATCACGCTCTGCATCAAGCATCCAGTGTCATTGAAATCCCCATAGAAAAGCATTGAATCCATGCTTTACTATTGGGAGCGCTTAATGCCCTCGCAGCACTCACCGCTCATGTGCATTAACTCCCTGTCGGATGACATTGGAGAAGGCGGACCGGGACCCTGGGACATTGGTGCTGAAATTCGGTAAGTAAATAAAGGGTTATTTATATCCCGGGTGGGAGGGAGGGCACTTTAGTGTTAGGAATACAGCTTTGTATTCCTGACGCTATAGATTCCCTTTAATATAAGGTATTCCAAAGGATTTATTAAAGTGGCAGAGAAGGAAAATTGGTGTGTATCTTAGGTGGTAATTTTGTAGATGTACAAATGCGTTGTTTTATTGGGTATCTTGCTGCACCAATCACTTGGCTCTCATATCATATGGTATTGGTTAAAATGAAATTGTTGACACTTAAATCTGACATGTACCATCTAATATGGGATAGCTATTTATGTACAAAAGTAAAGATATGTATTCAGTGGGTCAACTATCACAGCCATTGGGGACCACTGGTGGACTGACCACTCAGGCAGATCAGCCATGGACAAAAGGCCCAAGGCAGTCAGGAGCCTGGCTAATCATAGAGATCCCTACCCAGAAAGCCATAAATCCACACACATTCCAGTGATAGGTTGCCCCTGCAACCTATTGCACTGTAAGTGACATGATTTCTTGCCTGCTCTCTACTCTCCTGCAGAACTTGCAGGGTGCTCTTGGACTATGAGCACTATGAAGATAAGGAGCAACATCTTGGCAGAGACAGCACTGTAACCGCGGCTGGTTCCCTTATTTACCATTATAACCTCTTAAAGTATAGAACTTAGCAGGGCTAACCATATAGATAACTTAGCTATAATTTTATATAGTTAGTGTAAGAGATCCTCTATTTAACACAAACACAAAGTACACAGTTTAAGAAATACAACATTTCATTCTAAAACTTGTAATATTTGCATTTTCCCATAACAGCACTCTACAGGTATGTTTCTTGTAAATATTTTCTACAACCACACCCACTACAGCCCTTATGCCTCTCTGCACCCACCACAGCCACCATGCTCTCCCTGGACCAACTACTGTCCATCCCCTGCCACAGCCCCTATGCCCCTCCTGCATCCATCACAGCCCTTATGCCCCCATGCAACACTCCCTCCTATTCAACCAAACTGTTCCTCACTAAACCCACCACAGTCACTATGCTCCACCCCCACACCAACCACAGCCCCTATGCCCCCCATAATATCTGTGTGAGCTGCACAAAGAAGGGGGAGAAGAGTAGTAGTAGCCAAAAATCCTTGTACCAGAAGTGGGCCCTTGATGATCTATTGCCCTGTGAGTTGGCCGTTCATCCCTGCGCATGTCATATGCAGAATGTGGGATATGTAAATCTCCTTGCCACTAGACATAGTGAAATACATTTTAAGACTATACACCACACATGATCTAAGGCTTTGGTAGCTCCCAGAGATATTCTTGTTGAGATAAAGGTAAAATCAACATAGTAATGATTGTGATGATAAATTGGTGGCTTAGGTAAGTAAAGCTTAATTATGGTTACTGGTAATTGGGGAGCATACAAAAAAATAAGAAGAGTTTTAACTCCAGTAAGTGTAGCAGGGTTGAATCAGCAACAAATAAAATTACAGATTCAGAGGATGACATCTATAGGTGGTGGTTTCTCATAGGGGTAGATGAGCAAGATGGTCATAGCCTGTTGAATACTGGTTGCAGCGCTGGTGCTTGCTTGGTTCTTTCTCTAAACCCGCCCTTTTAGTGAGTACATAACATCTATTGTCCTTTCTGAGTCAAAAGGGATGACCCCAGGCATAGCGGAGTCAGTGTAATGAAAGCAATTGTATGATAGATCTCTTCTTTTTTTCAGTGTCCTTGGAGCGAGATCTTGGTAAAATTGTACCACCAAGCATTCAAAGTGAGGTCTCAAGTATCTGGCTGCACTCCTAAGGCATTGTTTTATATAAAAGAAGGGCATTTGCACTATTGCATTCCTGGATTGAGCTGGACTTGCCATAGGTGGGCGGAGGGCTCTTTGCGCCCGTTCCATCAAGAGATCTGAGTTGGAAGCATCTGGCAGTAGGCTTTGAAAGGCCTCTCAGTGAGTCTCTTCTGAGGTACTGACTTGGGTAGGCCTGTAATTCTCATACTTCCAAAAGTCTGAACTGATCCCGGAGGTCCTGAAGAGTATCCTCTTTAGAGTTGACCACTTCGATGACCTAGCTTGCATTCTACATCATGGGTGCAATTTGTAAGAGCAGCAAGGCCTTCTTTGAGAGGGTTTAGGTGTTTGCTAAATTCATCCGCCATGTGTGTTTTGATTTATTTCAGGAATTGATGGAGATCCTATCTGGTGAGTGGTGGGAGACTCCATAATGCAGCAGAGTAACTGGTCTCCAAATTGGAGCCTGAGGTAGGCATGTCCTGCAATGGCATCTGATCTTTTTCAGGTATAGCGCGGAAGATCATCACCACAGAATGTTGGTGAGATTTATGGCTTGTACCAACCATTGGGTTAGAAGGGGTTTTGTGTTAGCTTTTGACACACTTGTAGTTGTTGTTCTCATGGTTCTGTGCTAAAGATAGATAGAATTATATTACAATCCCTGCATTACACTCCAGAGCCTAAACTTGACTTCTGCTATGTTGGAGTCAGTCTCTACTCAAAGCCTATACTACCACAGAGTCAGACCTTGTATTACTGGGTGAAAGACTAGTGCAGCGGTAGGCAAGCTTTTAGCAGCACTGTGACGAAATAAGATTGTGATGTCCGTAGCGCGTCGATCCTATTTTTTTGAATTGAGGTGTGTATGTTGCTGTATTCTGCTTGTGTTATCTACACTGCAGTTGCTTTGTATCGTTGTATTTGTGCGTATATGAGCTATTATATTGCATATGTTCATGAGTAGTTTGTGGTATCGTGTATGATACCTATGAATGTAGGCTGTGTATGGGGGCTGCTTGTGGAATTGTGTGTGTGGATGGAAATGTCACATAGTGTGTTTGGTGCTGTGTGTATGTGTGGGGCTGTTTGGGGTATTGTATGTGAGAGCCTGCATGTGGGGTTGTGTGCATGTATGTGGATTGTTAGTGGTGTTGAGTTTGTGCAGATTATGTGTATGTTTGTGTGTGGGTTGATTGTATTATTTGTATGAGGGGAGGGTTATTCTGCATTTCTGTGTATATCTTGTAGTGTGGGTGGCTTCCCTGGGTTCCAGTGTGGACCATACTGGCCAGGTACAGCTCAAGGACAGAAGCTGAGATAGCAGTTGCGGGCTGCTCTACTACAGTGTGGATTCCTATTCACAAGTGCTGGGAGGAAGTGATCTGAGATCACTACCTCTATGTGCTGCAATGCGTAAATTAAGGATTTACTTTCACCATCTTTTCGTATTAGCAGATATTTAAAGTTTCACTGGGACTGCTGATAGGCCAGACCCTGTTTGGCTCTGGCAGTCTTGAGTACCGTGCAAAGGCACCTCGAAGGCGGTGCATGGCACTCGTGCCATAGGTTGCCTACCCCTGGACTAGTGTGTAATAAGGAGTGTGTAAAACAGAGAGCAGGCACAGTGCAGGTATTGGGTTGCACCCAAGTTTTTTTTTTGTAAATCTTTTTTTATTGAGTTATGTAAAGGAAGAACAGTTCAATTCAATGCAATCATAAGCAGATGGAAGGTTACGCATGACCTGTTTATATCTAAAACAGTGTGGTCAGGTGTACGTCAAGTATGTCAATGATTATCTATATTGATCATTAATCTTCCATTTTCCAAGCAGTGTGAACAATCATAACTCAGCAACTATAAAGTAACTTTCGCATATCGCTCTCCCTTTCATCTCAGGGCTCATGTATGTATCGCAGGGGCCTCATCGCATATGGCTTGTCATTAGTGACACAACAGCCCATGTGATTTGTCACTTGGTGTGTAATAATGGTGATAGATAAGTGCTATTTCGTTTACCCGCGTGTTAGGAAGCCTTATACCTCCATGATCAACTTGTGTTCGGTGAGCTGGTGTGGGTCTATCAGGAGGGCGATATCTGTGGTGGGGCAAAAGGTTTCATCTGTCTTAGCTATCTTGACACCCCGCTCTCCAAGTGTTTGTGTATGCCCTTGTCTCGTCTAGTGGTGCATCCATGAGGTGTGGTTGAAGTAATAGCTGTGTGGTGTTTTCTCTCCACCTCGCCCCAATTAGGCTAGACCAGGATGAGAGCGTAACGCTTTGGTATGATTGTATTTGATCTGGCTGTGTATGCGTGCAAAGAGAGAAGATTGCGAACTATGGGTAGGTTAGCGGAGGGGAAAAGGAGGGAGAAGGGGAGAAGAAGAACGCCACCAGTAGCCTGTCGGCTTTTATTTGGAGTTAATAAGTCAGTGCACAGGAGAAGAATGGGTCTCGCCCCGTGGATCAGACATCCCCCTGCAGGCCCCTCCCGGTCCCGTCCCACCTCATCGACCCCAAGACACAAATGCAAACCATAGTCGCCACATCTCAGCATGTTTGTCCCCTCTGCCCAGCAGGGACGCCTGCATCGCCTCCGTCCCCTGAATGTCCTCCACCCTGCGGATCCATTCCTCTGCACTGGGTATCTCCGACTTTTTCCAATACAATGGTATCAGAGCTTTGGCTGCATTGAGCAAGTGACATAGGATCGACTTCTTATACCCTGCAATCGACTTCTACGACACATGTAGGAGTGCTAGGGCTGCTGTCCAATCAGGGATTTCTCCCAGGACTTCAGTTATGTTTTGTCTTATCATCTGGTTGCACCTAAGTTAAATCTTTAAGAAAACTAGGTAAGAGTTCAAAGCTCTGGTAATAAATCCACTCTAGTCAGTGAATGCTAAATGCATGGCGTAGTAGGCTCATACAGAGTTTAGAGGATCCTTCCAGGAGCAAGCCTTTGCTATGATGTAACCTGTTCCCTGGAGCTGATTCACAGATAGGAGATATAAAACATAATAGAAAAAAAAAAAGACAATCAGACATAAATATAGTTTTAATATATAATGCATCCTTGACCGTTCTCTTCCTTCTGTCTGCAGCTCAGCTCCCACAGCTCTCAGTGGCTGACTACATGCAGAGAGACAGAGGCCAGTCCAGGGACAAACAGAGTAAAAGGGATAATGACTACTTAGGCAACCTTATCCTGCCGATAGCTGCAAACCTGTATTTCCTTTTTTTTTTTTTTTTTTATAATCTTTTATTTTGTGCATGAGAGAAAAGGTGTGTTACAAGACAGATAAAACAGTAGCCACATCGGCTTAACAAATATCGTTGCAAAATTCACAGGCTTTAGTATTTGCGCATTTTTTCCCTTTGTCCCATTTGTAACATTGTGTAACTTGACAGGATAGTATTCTAGTGAATCCAGGTAAAGAGCATATTACCGACATTGGTCGGGGGGTATGGGTTCGGCTCGTAGGGTTGTACCTTTCGATGTGGTATAGCCAGGACGGAGAGGAGGGGGGGTGGGATGAAGGTCGTGCAGGTAATATATGTGTCGGGTGTGGGTGGCATTTAGGTATCTCTAACGCTCTAGGTAGGTCAACCATGGCTGCCAGGTTAGAATGTATGTGTTGTAGTGGTTCGAGTATGAGGCGTTTAATTCTTCCATGGTCCGTATGAATTCCACCTTCTGTATCCACTCACGTACTGATGGGACCCCAGTGCTTTTCCACTTAAGTGGTATCAGCATGTTCACTGCTGTCAGCATATGGTTTATGAGTTTGCGTAGGTGGCTTGGCATGTGGGTGGTGTGCATGAGGAATAAGAGGGTTTCGGGGGAGTGTGATACTTGGTAACCCGTGATAGATGTTATTAGGCTTCTTAGTCTCTGCCAATAGGTTTGAATAGGCGGGCATAGCCACCAAATGTGAGCCGTGGTTCCTTTGGTTTGCCCGCATCTCCAACATATATCAGGTACTGTTGGGAAGAGTGCATGGATCTTGGTAGGTGAGTAGTGCCACCTGGATATCCGTTTGTACGTGCTTTCCCTTACTGCTGTGCTGACAGATGATTTATGTGTGTGTGTGAAGATCCTATGCCATGTTTCCTGAGGAATAGTGATATTTAGCTCACCTTCCCATGCTGACGTGAACGCCGGCAGTAGGGTGTGACTTGAAGTGCTTAGGAGTCTGTAGAAAATGGACAGGTGTTTGGTTTGAAGGCTGTGTGTGGTGCAGTAGGTCTCAAAGGTGGTGTGTGCCCTTGTTCCTCGAATGAAATGTGGATCCCCCTTCAAGAAGTGAGACAGTTGGGCGTATCGGAAGTGTTGTTTGGTAGTAGGGTGGTCTGTTGTGGCCAGTGTAGACAGTGGAGCCACTCCCGTTGGGGTCATAACTGTGCTAACCATCGGGTATCTCGTCTTTTGAACTAATGGAAATTGGGAGAAGAAGTGTGGGCATGTGCCCGGTAGGAACTTTGGATTGTGTGCCAAGGGATATAGCGGTGAGGGGTGTGGTGAGACGTCTTTCTGGGGCCTAATGCGCGACCATTGGCGCAGTGTGGGTATGATCGTTGGGTGTTGTGAGTGTTGAGGCAGGAGGAGTGTGTGTCCCTTGTCATGCCATGGGATTGTGCATAGAGGGGATTGGAACATTGAGCTTTCTATATATGCCCATTGCTTCAGCGGGGGCTCTGCGGTCCACTCGTATATTCTGGTTAGTATACTCGCTTGATAGTAGCGTTCCATATGAGGTAGGCCTAGGCCCCCCCTTCCCCTATGTCTGGTCAGAATCGTGTACGCTATTCTCGGGCGTTTAGTCGCCCATATGAAGGTTGTGAATATTTGTTTAAGCTTGGAGAAAAAGGAGGGGGGGGATCGCAATGGGGAGTGTTTGTAGGAGATATAACACCTTTGGCAATGTATTCATCTTCAATATATTGATCCTACATAGCCAGCTAAAGACGGGTCTCTGCCAGTTTGTTAGATCTTTTGATATCTCGGTGAGTAGTGGCATGAAGTTTAGATCGTATGCGTGTTTCAGGTGTCTGGGTAGATGGACCCCAAGGTAGGTGATGGACCTTCTAGCCCATGCAAAAGGGTACGTGGTTTTAAGTGTGTTTTGTGTTTGTCTGTCCATTTGGAGGGGTAGAATTTCACTCTTTGTGTAATTGACCTTAAAGTTGGAGAACTTGGCATATGTCGTCAGTTCGGCTATCAGTGGAGGCAGAGAGGTGAGCGGGTCGGTGATGGAAAATAGTAGGTCATCTGCAAACGCAGATACCTTGAATTCTTGTTGGTGAACTTTAAAGCCATGGATGGTGTTGTGGTCCCGTATTCCCTGTAGGAAGGGTTCTAGGGTGAGAATAAAGAGTAAGGGGGAGAGAGGGCAACCCTGTCTCGTGCCATTCTTTATGTGTACCGGACCTGACAGTTGGCCGTTTATTCTCAATTTTGCCGTTGGGTGAGAGTATATGGCTCCCATCCATTGCATCCAGTTTGGACCAAAGCCCATGGCCTGGAGAGTGGTAGTGAGCATTGTCCAGTCTACTCTATCAAATGCTTTTTCAGCATCTATAGATAGTAGTAGGCTTTGCCCTTTTGTGGTTCGGGAGAGATGGATGAGGTTCAGTACTTTGGTTGTGTTATGTTTGGCCTCTCGTTTAGGGACAAAACCGGATTGATCAGGGTGGATTAAGGTGTGTAGTATAGGTTGTAGACGCATGGCTAGGATTTTCGTACAAATCTTCAAGTCTACATTTATGAGCGAGATTGGGCGGTAGCTGCCGCACTCTTTGGGGTCTTTACCGGGTTTTGGCAGCAAAGTGATATGGGCCTCCAACGCTGATGCTGGGAGTGGGGCTGGATGGGTAAGAGCATTAAATGCCCGTAGGTATGGTTCAGCCAAGAGTGTAGCGAATTGTTTGTAGTATTTGGCTGTGAGGCCGTCGGGGCCAGGGCTTTTGCCTAGTGGTGTTGATTTTATCGCGCAATTTAATTCTTCAGTGGTAATGGGCATGTCTATGGACTGTGCCACGGCGTCAGGGATTTTATTTTTTAGCCTGGTTGATAGGTATCTTGTTATGTCGTTTATATCCGGAGGTGACTCCCTGAGGTTGTAAAGTTTGGTATAGAAGTGTTGGAAGGCTTTCATGATGTCTGGGAGGGTATGTGATATAGTGCCCGTTTGTGTTTTGATTTTGGAGATGTACGTGTTTTGCCTGGACTGTCGTAGGGCATTGGCTAGTAGTTTGCCACATTTACCTCCCTGTGTATAGTAGGAGTGCCTGGTATGGAGGAGCTTTTTCTTGGCCTGGTGGTGCAGTAGTTGTGTCAGTTCTGTGCGTTTGGTTATGAGGGTGTTATAGGTTGATAGGGAACTATCCCGGGTATGAGTATGTTCAAGGACTCTGATTTCTCGTGTGAGTGTGTCTATTTTCTGTGTTCTCCTTTTTTTGAGAGTGGCCGCTATTGCTAGGAATTCTCCCCTTATGACGCATTTGTGCGCTTCCCAAGTGGTCATGGGGGAGATGGTTGGTAGCGTGTTTTCTTGGAAGTAGTTGGTAAGTGCAGTTGTCACACGAGTTGTGATTGTGTGGTCATTGAGGAGGAAATCGTTAAGTTTCCAATGAAAGGACGTCAGTGGGAGCGTGGGGATCTGTATGACTAGGGATAGAGGTGCATGGTCTGACCAGGTAATTGGACCGTAGGAGCAGGAGATGGCCAGATGCAAGTGATCTTGGGGAAGGAACATCATGTCTATCCTGGAGTATGAGCGTGAGGCTGAGGAGTAGTCTCTATCTTGTGGGTGTGTGGTTCTCCAGCAGTCAAATAGTCTAGCTTGGTCAAGGAGGTGTGTTATCTGTTTCCTTGCAGCATTTTGGTATTGTGTGGAGTGGGAGGTCGTGTCAAGGGCAGAGTCCAAGGATATATTCAAGTCACCACCCATGATCAGCATGCCTTCCATAAAGGATTCGATTATATTAAGATACTTCTTGAGGGCTTTGCCTTGGTGTCGGTTGGGTAGGTATAGGTTAGCAAATGTGAGGACGGTCTGGCCTATCTGTCCCTTTACCAAGAGTAGCCTGCCCCCATCATCAGTTTTGTGAGCCTTGTAGGTGAAAGGAGTGTGTGCTGCAAAGAGTATGGCTACCCCCCTGGCCTTGGCGTGACTATAGTTACTAAAGAATCCTGTTGGGTATGTCCTGCTCTTGAGAGTGGGCGCTCTGTCCTTCTTAAAGTGAGTTTCCTGTAGGAAGACCACGTTAGCTCGTAGTTTGTGCATTTCTGTAAGAGCTATAGATCTTTTCTCGGGCGTATTAAGGCCTTTAACATTGAGTGTGACTAATTGTATGGTAGCCATCAGGTCTGGATACGTTCGTAGGTGTGCCAATGAGAGTGTCTGTGGGTGAGGGGGGGGATGTTTGGATGGGGGGGATTTGGTCACCTGGAGGGAGGAGCAAAAGGGGGAAGGAAAGCAAAAGAAAAAGAGAAACAACAAGAGGAGAAAAATATATAACAATTAACTTATATACAAGCGAAAAATCTATAAATAGATCGGAGTAGAAACTGTCCCCCGAGATTGCTAGGAGGCACCGGTTGAACACCGGGCGTCAGCCAGCAGTCTGAGGGGAGACCTCTGGTGTCGGGCCCAGAGTGGGACGTTGCCACCTGGGACTTTTGTGACACCGTGGTATAGGTCGTGTCGACCTAGTACAATGCAAGTCGTCTAGTAATCATACGATAGTATGCAAAGAGAGATGAGGGACGGAGGTGGTCCCGGGCGACTGATGTCAGTCAATGACTCTCGTAGGAGAGCAACGGGAGTAAGAGTCATCAACTGTCGTCGCCAGAGCACACACCCGTAAATACATTCCACAACATATCAGTTAGTTAGACATCTTAGATGAGGAGGCTATAAAAACAGTATAAACAGCGTTATTCTAGATAAACTTTTTTTTTTGTTTTTGTTTTTTTGTGGGTGATGCGTTAATGATATGTCTAAATTTCTGTTGGTGGGCCAATAAGAAAGATCCCGGTAATGTGCAGCATTTACCTGCCGCCAGCCTAGCCATTGGGTCTGCATAGTGAGAGGGAGAGGTGGAAGCCGTATATCAGGTCTGTATATTTGCCTGCTATGCCGCTGCCGGGGATGGTAAGTGTCGCGGGAAAATAAGCGAGATTACCCTGTTGAGTGTTATTCCTGTTGAGGTCGCGGAAATTGCGACAGCTGGCTGGCGTTATAGGGATTGGCATTTAAGACATTTTCGCTCTGTATCATACCCCAGGGGGATTCATCCCTTAGCAACATGGGTTTAGCATTATATGGATACGGTCACCTGGTTCTTAAGAGAGTCCTGATAGCCCCAAGTGGAGATGGCTCCGAGGAGCGTTAACAAGTCTCTGGCAGCGTGTTAGAGATGGTCATCTCAGCATGTCCCTTGGTTGTTCGAGTTGGGCTTCCCTTAGCAGCTGGTGTCCCGGAGGTGGCAGCTGCCAGTGGATCATATAGCCTTGGCTGGTAGCAGGTCGTAGTGTGTGCGCAGGGTTGGAATCTTTTCAGTGTAGCGACGGGTCTTGGGTATCTGATCTTTTCTTCTTGGGCGTTTGTTGCCATCGGGGTCTCTGCGGTAGCTGAGGTGGAAGTGGTGTTTGCAGCGGTCCGTACCAGTCCATGATGTGTGGGTCTGTGAGGTTGAGGGCTTGTGTAAAGAGTGGTATGTCCGCATGGGAGTGTATCGTGTGCTGAGTGCCCTTATACGTGACACTCAGTGCCAGTGGGAATCCCCACCTGTATCTTAGGTTTCTGGATCTTAATTGGTCTGTAATTGGTCGCAAAATCCGTCTCGCTTGTAGTGTCAGCCATGAGAGGTCGGGGTAGATGGTTATTGGGGCATCATGAAATAGCATAGGTTGTGAGGTCTGTTTCAGCGTGTGCAGTATATCTTCCCTGCATGTGTGATAGTGAAGCCTGCAAATGACATCTCTAGGCTTGTCAGTCGCTATGCCTCTGGGCTTCAGTGCCCTGTGTGCTCTATCTAGTAGGATGTGATGGTCTCTTGGCTTACCCAGAATTAAGTTGAATAGTTCATTCAGCGTCTGGTAGATATCTTCTTGTTCGTTTTCTGGGAGACCTCTGATCCTTAGATTGTTGCGGCGCCCCCTGTTGTCTAGGTCATCCATGGACCTATGGAGCGTGGACAGGTAGGTGTTCTGGTGTTCCACTGCTGCCTGCAGGGAGTTCAGCTGCGTATGCATAGTATCTCTGTCATCTTCCAGGGTGCTCACTCTGTCAGCTACTTGGCGAATTTCAGAGTTAAATGCATCCATTTTGGCTTGAACTGAGGCCTCTAGCTGGGTCAGCATGCCTGCAATGTCCTGTTTGGAGGGCAGATTTCTGAGGATGTCCTTCAGGTCCCCGTCCGTCGGGAGGCCCGAAATCTCCGAGTCTGCTGGGCTGGAGGGGGACATACAGAGAGGTGAGGAGTCTGCCGCCATATTGGGGCCTAGTGCGCCCGCATTACTATCCGCCCGGTCGCGGAAATACTTGGTGAAAGCGCTCGATTTGCCCGATGGGGTTTTGCTGGAGGCTTGCTGGGAAGATGCCGCTCGTTTTGGGTGACCCATCCTTCGTTTTGTGGCCCGATCTGGTTGGGTGTGTGTCTGGTGCCGCCGGAGCTGATTTAGAACGCGGCCATGCACCAGCTCGGTCGGCTCCGCCCCCCTGTATTTTCCTTTTTGACTAATCTATGAAGAGTTACATGGAGAGAAAAATATCTCAGGAATATGAGGCCATATAAGCAAATAAATTGTGTTAATGTCAATAGTGTCCTTGTAACAATAGGAAAAATGCTATAGATCTTCAATAGACTTATCTATGACTATGAACACTACAGAGAAACCAGTTAGGCAGAATGCATTTAAATAGCTTCTAGTCTATCTCCTGTTGCGATTTATTCTATTTTCGCATTTAAATTGCTTCCTAGGTTATGCAATTCAGAAGGTAGTTATTTTTGTATGCAGTTGTCTATCATCCTTTGGATTTCTGCATTACTTGTCACATAAAATGTTACATTCACTCTACATTTGCTGCTGCAGTGCCATTGAGGAATGTCACCCAAGCCTTTCAGTTTTGAAGGCTTTCAACTTGTGATCTGTGTTGCAAATAATTGGGAATTTGAAAAAAATAATCATTTATTTTTCCTCTTTTAAGCCTTCAACAATAAATAAATATATCAATACGTTTGTTCATAATTTGGCATTAGAATTATTGTGGTTGAAGGAGTTAAATCCTTCTTCAACTGCTTTTTTCCTCCTTCACATCCCTCCTGCATTAGCGTTTGTAAGGGAACATTGCTTAGAAATGTTATTTTGAGTCGATTTGATTACTGTTGATGTAAGGTATTACCTAAGCTTATTAAATTCAGAAAGCAGCAAGAAATTCAATGAAAAATCAACATGTTTGCGGTTTTCACTGATCGCTTTGGAGAAAAAAAAATGACTGTCAGTTTTCAGATTTTATACTGATCGTGCATTCACAATAAGATTTATAAAGATGCACTGTACTCGATCAGGCACACCTATCTAGAACCTGGTAGGAGTCCATTTAGACTCCAGAACAATGTGAATTAATTTCATAATGAATTCCCGAAGGCACGGGAAATATTACAGATTTAGGCTATGCATTTGCAGACTAATAATCCTCTAGTTATGGTCATCGTGTGCGCACTATTGCCTCTTATTCCTGCTTTTAGCTGACAGGCTTGAATGCTGGGTGCACTTCTGTTTGTATTCAACGGGATTTGTAGAATATAATATGGCACTAGTTTGTGGGTGTGCATGTGTTTGTATGGGTATGGGTATTTATAATCAGTATAAAATATAACATAGCATATCTAAAATGAAACAGAAGTATAACATATGATCATTTCTATTCATAAAATCCCAATTTGGTAATATGTATACAATAAGATAAAGATTTGAGAAGATACATCTAAAAAGTTTTGAACGACTGCTTCTATCAAAGAAAAGCTACCAGACATGTGCATTTCCTGGATACTACTGGCCATGATTTTAAAAGGATGCTCTAAGTACCAAAACAGCTTTAGCTGAATGAAGTGGTTTTGGTGCCTAGATTATGCTCCTGCAGTTTCGCTGCTCAATTTTCTGCCATTTAGGAGTTAAATCACTTGGTTTATGCAGCCATAGTCACACCTCCCTAGCTAACAAAAAAGTGGTCTTATTAAACTTTCTTTATTGCACATTGTGTGTTTAATTTACTAATTCCTATCTACTATAGCTTGAATTGCTAAAAACATTTAATGCTGGCCATGATAGAATGGTATCAGAGCACACAGTGCATCGCAGTTTGCAGAGTTTGGGACTGCATAGCCAATGAAAGGTTAGTGTCCATGATGATCCTTGTCACCACCAAAAGTGCCTTCAGTAGGGACATGATTGTCAAAAATAACAACTCGTACTGTTGTCCAAACTAATTAACAACTTTTGTTTTAAAAGAACACAACAACAGAGAGTTCAATGACACAATTTTTAAATAATGATATAAATAGATAAAATTAAGCTTATATTTATTAGTATCTCCAACAAATGCTATACATACACACACAGACTGCTGAATATATGCACACAGTCTGCTGAATACACACACACACACACACAAGACTGCTGAATACAGAGACTGATGAATACACACACACACACAGTCTGCTGAATACACATACAGACAGCTGAGTACACACACACAGACTGCTGAGTACACACACACAGACTGCTGAATACATACACACACAGTCCGCTGAATACATACACACACAGACTGCTGAATACATACACACACACACACACACACATACTGCATTGAGGGGTGTAGTGTATGTGTTTGTATGGGGTGCTGTGTGTGTGGGGGGTGCTGTGTGTGTGCGAGGGGTGCTGTGTGTGTGTGTGTGTGTGTGTGTGAGGGTTGCTGTGTGTGTGTGTGAGGGTTGCTGTGTGTGTGTGTGGGTGTTGTGTGTGTGTGTATGGGTGTTGTGTGTGTGTGGGGGGGTGTTGTGTGTGGGGGGTGTTGTGTGTGTGTGTGGTGTGTGTGTGTGTGTGTAAGGGGGGTGCTGTGTGTGTGGGGGTGCTGTGTGTGTGTGTGTGAGGGTTGTTGTGTGTGTGAGGGGTGGTGTGTGTGTGAGGGGTGTGTGTGTGTATGAGGGGTGCTGTGCTGTGTGGGGGGTAGGGGTGCTGGGCGGGGGTAAGGGTGCTGTGCTGTGGGGTGCTGTGTATGTTGTGGGGTGATGTGTGTGGAGGGGTGGGGCTGCTGTGTGTGTGGGGGGTAAGGGTGCTGTGTGTGGGGGGTGGGGGTGTGGGAGGAGGAAGGAGTGGGATGCTGGTGTGGGTGAAGGGAGGGTGCTGGGGAGGGATGCTGGGGGGTACTGTGTGTGGGGGGGTAGGGGTACTGCTGGGAGGTTAAGGGTGTGGGGGGGCTGAACGTGTTTTTTAAAAAAAAAGTGTACTAAATCAGTACCCCCCTCCCTCCTTCTTACCTTTAATGAAGGAGGGGGGGACACAGCAATCCCTGGTGGTAAGTACTGCTTCCGGGTCGAGAGGCAGGGGGAGGGATCTGTGAAGCAGCTCCCCTGTCCTCCTGCACGATGCTGTGTGGAGCGTTGCCATGGTAACGCGCGGCAACGTTTCACACAGCTTGCTCGCGGGAGGACAGGGGAGCTGCTTCACAGATCCCTCCCCCTGCCTCCTGACATGGAAGCAGAGTAGGCGCCTGCCGTTTTGGGCAGACAGGTGCCTACTCTGCATTGATGGCGAACCTATGGCCGCGTGCCCACAGAGAGGGCCCGGCGTGCCATCTGTGGCACGTGTGCCATAGGTTCGCCATCACTGGTATAGGGAATGTAGTGTGTGTTTGTGTATAAAGAATGCATTATGTGTGTGTGTGAAGGTGTGTGTGTGTGCGCGCGTGTGTGAAGAGATGCATTGTGTGCTTCTGTGTATGTGTGCAAGGGCTGCATTGTGTGTGTGTGTGTGTTTGTGAAGTATGCATTTTGTGTGTGTAAGGGATGCATTGTGTGTTTCTGTGTGTGTAAATGAAGAATGGTGTGTTTCTGTGTAAATGTAGGATGCTTTGTATATTTCAGTGTGTGTGTGAGTAGGGATGAATTCTGTACATGTGTGTTTCTGTGTATGTGTAAGGATGCATTCTGTATGTGTGAAAGAGATTGTTTGTAGGGTAGGATAGGGGCTGAGAGGGAAGCAGCTCTTTTATTTTGTTAATATAATTTGTTTTGTATATTTTTTCTTTAGGTTTTGTGTCTTACACTCCCCTTTAGTGTATCTCTTACAAACCCCTTGTGTGTCTCTTATCCCCCCTCTTTGTATGTCTCCTACATCCTCCTAACCCCTTGGGGTCTTACTCCCCCAAGCCCCTTTGTGTCTTACTCTTCCCAGCTCCTCGCTATGTCTCTTTTCCCCCCAGGTCCCTCTGTGTGTCTCTCTCACAAGCAACTTTGTTTGTCTCTCTCCTGAAACCCTCTGTGTGTCTGTCTCCCCTACCAGCCCTTCTGTGCTTCTTTCACCCCTTTCTCAGCCTGTGTGTCTTCCGCTCCTCCCGTACCTTAATGATCTCTTCCACTTCCCCCACCCCTTAGTGGTCCCAACTCCACTTCTAACCCTGTCCCTTAGAGGTCTCCCATCCTGTCCCTTAGAATTCTCCACTCCCCTCCTGTCCCCTAGTGTTGTCCCCTCCCCCTCCTGTCCTTTAGTGCCTTAGTGGTCTCTTCTCCCCCAGTGTCCCTTAGTGGTTCTCTCCTCCTCTCCCTCCCAAGTGTCCTCCCTTAGTTGTCTCTCCCCTCAAGTGTCCCTTAGTGGTCTCTCCTCCTCCCCCTCATTGTCCCTTAGTGGTCTCTCCTCCCTCCCTCCCCCAGTTCCCTTCTGTTCTCCCCCCAAGTGTCCCTTAGTGGTCTCCTTCTCCCTCAGTGTCCCTCAGTGGTCTCTCTCCTCTCCTCTCCCTCCAGTGTCCCTTAGTGGGTCGTCTCCCCCACCCTCCCATGGTGGTCTGTCCCCTCCTCCTTGGTGTCTCTCCTCTCCTTAGTGTCCCTTAGTGGTCTCTCCCCCCCCAGTGTCCCCCTTAGTGCCATCTCCCACCCCTTCCCTGTTGTGCCTTCTACCTCTTTGTAGCGTGGCCGGGCAGAACAAACCGCGGTACAGGAGCTTCTGTTTCCTGTACCCGGCCGGACTAACAGGAAGTGCTCACTGAGAGAGCACTTACTTTAAGTATGGCTGTGTACAGGAAACACAAGCTTCTGTATCGCAGTCCGCGCTGCCCGGCCACACTACACAGAGAGTCTGGCAGGAGGGAGCACTGTGCACTTCCCTCCTGCCGGGTTACTCGAAACTTGCGCCCCCCAGGCCAGTGCGCCCTAGCCACTGCCTAAGTTACCTCTAGGACTCGCCGGCCCTGGTTGTTGCCTTGGCCTCCAAATTCCCCAGATCTCAATGCAATTGTGCATTGTGCGATGTGCTGGAACAATAAATCCAATCCATGGAGGTCTAACTTGGCACATTGCTGGACTTTATAGATCTATTGCTAATGCCTTGGTGCCAGATACCATAGGGCACATTCAGACGTCTTGTGGAGTCCATGTCTCCATGCATCAGAGCCTTTTTGACAGCACGAGGGGGGCCTGCATTAAATTAGGCAGGTGGTTTTAATGTTGTGGCTGATCAGTGTATGCTCCCTCTTGCATTCCTCACATACAACGGCTCTTAATCAAAGACACGGTACCATAAACATTTCAAAACCATGTATATAAGCAAGGCACTAGGATATGAAAGTGAGCAGGAATTATCAGATGAAAATTAATGGTGCGGTTAAAGGAAAGGATTGTAATCATCAAGCTCATGATGAACTACAACTACAATAAGTTGGATGATCATGATTGTTTGACTTCACCAACAGCCAGGGAGCTGCAGGTTTCTGTGGTTTATGTCTCCTTTAAATTTCTAAAAAATACATCAGTTATGTACATAGAACTCCAAAATTAATGTCTGATGTTTTAGGTAGATCTTAAAATAAAAGAGTTATATCTGTGTTAAAGGGACACTATAGTCACCTGAACAACTTCAGCTTAATGAGGTTGTTCAAGTGAGAACTATAGCTCCCTGCAGCCTCTCTCGTGTAAACACTGTATTTTCTGAGAAAATACATTGTTTACATTGAAAGCTAGGAACACCTCCAGTTGCAGTAACTCAGAGTGAACCAGAGGGACTTCGGAGTTCCATCCACTCAGATCTGCTGTCAGCAGAGCACAGGGCAGCACCGTGCACAGCATCCTTTGATTCAGTATCGCCTCCCTCTGCATGCAGACACTGAACTTTCCTCATAGAGATTCATTGATTCAATTCATCTCTATGAGGAGATGCTGATTGGCCAGGGCTGTGTTTGAATCATGCTGGCTCTGCCCCTGATCTGCCTCTTTGTCAGTCTCAGGTCTCAGCCAATCATATGGGAAAGCACTATGATTGGAAGCAGACTGCTTGTTTTTCTGAGTCTAACAGCATGCAGAGTTACAGCTTTGAATACAGTAAGATTTTTACTATTTTTATGGAGGCGTGTTTGTGTTCCTGACCCTATAGTGATCCTTTAATATTTCTCTAATTCTGTAGGATAGGGAACCATTTCATACTTAGAACAAATGTTTTCTTTTTGTCTTAAAGTGGATCTGTCCTTTGATTTGTGGACAACAAACACCACAGAAGATATGCTTAGTATAAATTTAAGGGAAAAGCTTCTAAATTCCTTTACTAAATATTTCCGTGGTTAGTAATAGCTGTGAAAGAACACATAAACAGAGGTTTTTTAATTGCAGGGAAGTGGTAAGTATTCATTGTCTAACATCCTGTATTGTTAACTTTTTAAATGTGTTTTCTGCTCACATTAAAAATCATTAGATGTTTTTAACCACAAAATACCAGGATGCTTGAGGGTGAAAGGTATCCCCATTAAACAGACTTGTTCTGTGTTGTTATACATAACTGGAAAGATGGGAATGATCAAATAAACATATCAGAAGGTGGCCAGCTGAAATAGTTTTTTACATCTTCAAAACAAAATGGCTGCAGGAAAAGGCAAAGGCTGAAATGGAAAGGGGAGGAAGAGAAGGGAGGCTTCTTGTCCAAAATTATAATCATATATCTGGTAATCATCCCAGTTTATTTTTTAAGGAAATCAGAGTATGATGGAGCATAGCCTATAGCTTACCAGCATACTATTCTGAACATTAGCAAAAACTAGAGTGATGGAGGGGTAAATTTTATTATGTAAAATAATCCGATAGGTTGCCCTACTGCTAAGTGCTGACATCAATTTGTGGAGCAATCTACTTTCAATAACACCCCATAGTATTTTATATATTATGAGTCTACGTTACATTTTTTTTCAATGAAGTATAAATCACATATAACAGAAATACACTGACATCCCGGAACATACCTCACTCACAACATTTTACTTTTTTTCATTAGTTACAACTTAGAAGCTTAGCATCTTCTTCGACCATCTGTCAAGCTGGTACATCACCACTGATATCTTTTGAACGCGACTGCACACATTCAACAACAAGAAAAGGACAAATATTGTATATATACGCACTCAAATAGCCTTACCATACATATCAGCATTGGAGCCAGATCTGGGGATTGGATGGACATTTGGGAAGCAATAGCAACATTACCAAACTGTGTTACTCACAAAGAACAAGCTAAAAATGCTAGTTAAGTGGTATTTCACACCTGCTCGTCTGGCAGCATGTGTAGAAACTGATACTTTCTTCCAGTGTTGGTGAACATGCCCAACGTTGTGACCAGTATGGCAAAGCATTAAAGTTGTTAGTTGTTAGTAGAGTGCTGGGTAAGCCCTGTCCCTTAGACGCCTGGGCTTTGCTTTAGTCCAAACTGATTGATTTATTTACCAGAGTGGAAAATAAGCCTGCAACTAAGATAGCACTAACCACCTGCAGAGCAATTGGTGAAGTGTGGGCAACGCAGCATTTTCTTTTCCTTGTTGTGATTAACATAAAAATACAGGATAGCAGGAGCGTGGCTAGCTGAGCAAGGAACAAGACGTGCTGATGTGGAGCTCTGGCTTGCCCACTGATATACTGATTAAACTGCCACTTGACCGATCCACAAAACAAATGCATGCATAACTCAGAACCCCCACCTGAGAGAGATGGGACACAGAAATCACAAATTGACTCACTCGGGGAGCTCTAATTTGCCAGACATTTGTAGGTCGGCAGGAGGAGTCCATAGAGGAAGATGGCACTACAACATCGCGGGCTCTGAGCAGGGTGTACAGGAGTGAGGAGTCTGACTCAGATGCTTCACCATCCACTAAAGGAGACATTAAAAAACTGTCGGTAGACTTGCATGAGGTCTGAAAGGCCGACGTAGCTTGTGTGCGCACTGAAGTTGATGGCCTCAATGCACGGGTTAGCGCAGCTGAAACAAGACAAGGGAAAAGGGCATATATATTTCCGGAGGCTCGATCCCGGATGGAGACCATGTCCCAGCAACTCACCCGCACTGTCACAATGTTACAAAAATGTCACCGAAAGAATGTGCGGATTGACGGTGTACCTGAAAGAGTGGGCACTGAAGCTTCTCTGGATTTTACCACTGAAGTGGCAGCGGCACTGGGAGTGCGGTCAGTAACGGGAGCATTACCCATCACTTCTGCATCTTGAATACGGAAGGCCTTAACTGCCCCTGTGGATGAACCAAGGGATATCATAGCAGTTAACCGGGACGTTTCTATTAAATCAGCAATATTAGCCCGCTCAAGGACTACCCCCTCCATCATGGTGAACAGTTGTTCCATCCGGGTCTATGATGACTTGCCCTTCATTGCCCTCTTTGAGAGGCGGAGGTTTATGCCGGTGACGAGGGAGCTCCGTGAAAGTGGTATCCGATACAGATGGGGAGCATCGGCACCCTCGTGGTGCATCATGGAGACCCTGTCTTAAACCTATTGGTGCACAATAACCCAATGGAATTTTTGAAGGCACTTCACTTGCCAAAGCAGGCTTCCCCTACGCTGACTGCTGTCACAGTCCTAGAAATTGAAGGGACCAACTTGGAATGAGGACAGAACTCTGAGACGGGGACAGCAAATATGGTTGACATATTAGCAAGGAGACACTAAATGATAGGTATGCAAGTGGAGAACAATTAGTGCCATCTGATGTCTGCGTGTAGGGGGAAAAGTACATATCATCTGATACCCTGATTGCAATAACGTCAAATAAAGTGGCCACAGGTGAGACTACTACAGAGATGCATGACTAGGCCAAGCCATCCCAGGACTCTCAAGAGATTTGTAAAACCCTTCCCCACATCTCCCTATGACACTGGGCGCCCCAGGACACAACAGTGACCTATTGACTAGGCAGGAGCATAAATGTATGAATGTCAGGAGCACTTGGGTATCTTCATGCGGCACCAGAGAATGCAACAGAGCTAAGGTTATGACCTGAGAATCAACTGTATTGTGTCAATGAAATAATACTTTAGAGCCCCCAGTAATGAGGACTATAGCCACCTAGAAAGAGTCAGAGAGAGGATGAGAGTTGCACAATAGATGTTAAAGTCAGATATTGGAGCAAGAACCCTATAAAAGAGTTTAGATTGTTTAACTGATTCTCACGTTTGTCATGTTGTAGGTAGTATTGGAATGTAAATGTGGGACCAGTTTTATATCCTGTAAAAATTTGCACGCATAGGGATTTTTTCAAAATTTCGCTACTAACTAGAACTCTGGAATATAATTTCCGTTATATATAAAAATTCACACTGCATGTTTCTTACGGTCTGATACTATGCTACGCTAAGGGGCGTATCACTGTATTACTGTGATGACGTTTTCGTATTGACATGTATTGTATACTGCATGTGCAATGTGGACCAAAATAAAGAATTAAAAAAAGGATAGCATCGTCATGGATAGACCCACTTCCCTAACTCATGATATCCCCAAATCATTCCACAAAACTTGGGACCATTGGCTGGATGGAGACACATACCTCCCATGTTAGAAAACTTTTTAACCAATAGCTCATTCATCAAATGTTCATCACAACTACTCTAATTAGTTCACCGCAGTGCCAGCTCTTAGTTATCCTACTCACCTTTCTTTCCTTCTGTAACGAAGTGCCCTTCGCCACTTGTGCCTGGAGAGGACTGCTTGCCCGCCTCTTGCCCTGTGACTATGGACCCTGGGAGGTTTGGCCCGTTCAATTCAGTATGTTAGGAGTTATGTATTTTTGTATCCTTTTGTGTTTTACTGGGAACATGTGCTCAATGGAGTCTGCTTCTATCCCTTGATAATTGGATTATGTTCACCATTGTCTCCAAGATAGAGGGCTCTGTAAAACCGGTTTGGGACAGATAGCCATGCTGCCAGCCAAGCCCCAAAAGATACTTTGCTAACTTCTGAATCCCTGGTCTGATTCATGCCATTTTTTGATATGTTGTTTCCCTGAATGGATTGATTGTGAATATATATTTTTTATGTGAATGTGATGTATATTTTAGAAGTTATGAATGCTGTAAAAACTGTATTATTTCTGGCCAGCAGATAATTGAGCTTTGTGTATTGTAGAAACCCTGTCACCCCACCTGTCACCCCCTCTCACCCTGCCACCTGAACTCCCTCACCCACTCTCACCATGCCACCCCACCTGTCACCTCCCTCTCACCTTGTCACCCCACCTGTCACCCCCTCACCCTGTCACCTCCCTCTCACCCTGCCACCCCACTTCTCACCCTGTCACCCCACCTGTCACCCCCTCACCCTGTCACCCCACCTCTACTCTGTCACCCACCCTGTGACCCTACACTATAAGTGTCACCCCCTACTCTGTCACTCCCAAAACAATATGTCACCCTTCTCAGCCTGTCACCAATACTCCCACCTCGCTACTGTCAGCCCCTAACACTATGTCACCCCCTAACACTGTCACCCCCTCTCACCCTGTCATCCCCCTCTCTCTCACTCTGTCATCCTCTCACACGCTGTCACCGCCTCATACTAGTAGTCCTCCCTCTCACACTGTCACCCAATCACACTGTCACCCCATCACACTGTGTCACCCCCTCTCACTCTGTCACACCCTTACACTAATGTAACCCTCTTTCACCTGTCACCCCCTCTTACTCTGTCACCCCCCCTGTAACCCACCAAACTGTCACCCACCCGTACTCTGTCACCTCACTCTGTCGCTCCCTACACACTAGGTCACCCCACCTCACACTTTCACCACCTCACACTATGTCACCCCTCTTATTCTGTCACACTCTGTCACCCTCCCTCTCACTATGTCACCCACCCTCTTACTCTGACACCCCCCTCTTACTCTGACACCCCCCTCTTGATCTGTTACCCACCTTCACTATGTCACGTTCCCTCTCACTCTGTCACCCCCCCTTACACTAATGTAACCCTCTCTCACTATGTCACCCCCTCTCACACTAGGTCTCCCCTCTCACACCCCTTCTCACCCTGTCACCCCCTCTTACTCTGTCACCCACCCTGTGACCACCCACACTGTCACCCACCCATACTCTGTCACTTCACCCTGTCACTCCCCACACACTAGGTCACCCCACCTCACACTTTCACCCCCTCTTATTCTGTCACCCTCCTTCTCACTCTGTCACCTCCATCACACTATGTCACCCACCCTCTTACTCTGACATCCCCCTCTTACTCTGTTACCCACCTTCACTATGTCACCCTTCCTCTCACTCTGTCACCCCCTCTCACTCTGTCACACCCCTTACACTAATGTAACCCTCACACTCTATCACCACCCCTCACACTCTGTCACCACCCCTCACTCTCTGTCACCCCCTCACACTATGTCATTTCCCCCACACACTCTGTCACCACTCTCTGCACACACTGGCAACCCTCTCGGCGCACACTGACTCCCCTCTAGGCGCACACTGTCACCCCTCCATACACATTGTCACCCCCCTCCATACACACTTTCTCTCCCTCCAAACACACAGGCACCACTCTCCATTCTCACTGTCAACCCTCAACACTCTGGCACCCACCTCCATACACTCTGGTACCCTCCTGCTCTTTTACACTCACCCTGCCACAGTTACCCCTTTACTCACCGTCACCCCCTGAAGGCAATAATTATACACACTGTCATAAAACATAGCTTCGCCATAAACTCAGTGCCAAAGGCCACAGGCAGTACACAAACATACACATGCTCAGAGAAACATACATACATACATATACAAGGATCCTCACTGCCAGACACACACAGGTAGACAATGCAACGATGTATACAAAGACTAGCTCACTATATCCAGTGCTGCAAGCTCCCCCTTCAATATATCTACAGCTTCTTATACACACACAAATCAACTGCTATTTATTTCAATAATGGTGTTAGTGGGGGCCTCATGTATGAGTTTCGCCTAAGGCCTCGCCAAGTCTAGAGCTGCCACTGGATACTACCATATTCTAGTAGAAGATATATTAAAATATAGCTCAGTGCTTGTAACATGGGTTTTACAAGCAGTGTTTTAATATGAGAAACAGGGCCAAGTGTCAGGTGCTGTGTGTTGTTGACAAACACATACCAAAGGCCTCACAGTTTTACCTTTAACCTACTTTCCATAGGTCCCTCAACGTGTCACAGTCTGGGGCAAGCTGGCCTGGGTGGCAAGGTGACATTCATGCAGTTGGAACAAATTTATTTAAAAATATCCTGTCATGTAGTTGGTAACTGAGAATTAAAAAAAACTTTGGATCATTTAGAAAATATTTGAATAACATACAATCTTCCAGCATGCAACCAACATCTTCCTGCTCATTACGGTGGTAAAAATTCTAACATGGAGATCAAGTCAGCTGTTCTAACTCAGCCCTAACGTCATTAAACTTTAACATATTAAAGCAGCTCTATTACTTTGCAGGTTGTGATTTTAAATTCTTTTTTTAATAGGCATAAGAAAAACTAAAAGGAAAGAATATTTTTTATAATTGCCAACATATGAAAAAAATTCCCAGGGACACTTTGCAGCACAGCTATCAGTTGCTACCTTGAAAATGTACCACATCCACTGTCGCAAAGCTCCGCCCACATTGTCCAACCCACATAATTCATCTTCGCCTACTTATCAGATTGCAGATTACAGGGTCTACTCAATAAAGATAAAATTACAGGGAACTGAGATGGTAATTTTAAACTTAAGGACAAAGTAGTCGAGTTGGAAAAATTCTCCGATTCAGCTGCACTATTTTGACCTAAATTTTGCAATACCCATCCAGGGCCGGCGCTACCTGTAAGGCGGACTAGGGAGCCGCCTAGGGCGCCCCTTGGGAAGGGGCGCCGCCAGGAGCGCTGGCCCCCATGCTGCAGCCTCCCGAGCGCTCTGTAGAGAGCTCACACGTTCACACCCCTTCTCACCCTGTCACCCCCTCTTACTCTGTCACCCACCCTGTGACCACCCACACTGTCACCCACCCATACTCTGTCACTTCACCCTGTCACTCCCCACACACTAGGTCACCCCACCTCACACTTTCACCCCCTCTTATTCTGTCACCCTCCTTCTCACTCTGTCACCTCCATCACACTATGTCACCCACCCTCTTACTCTGACATCCCCCTCTTACTCTGTTACCCACCTTCACTATGTCACCCTTCCTCTCACTCTGTCACCCCCTCTCACTCTGTCACACCCCTTACACTAATGTAACCCTCACACTCTATCACCACCCCTCACACTCTGTCACCACCCCTCACTCTCTGTCACCCCCTCACACTATGTCATTTCCCCCACACACTCTGTCACCACTCTCTGCACACACTGGCAACCCTCTCGGCGCACACTGATGGGAGGGTGAGAGAAAAAGAAATTGGTAGGGGAGGGGGGAGAAGAAGAAATTGGTAGGGGAGGGGGAAGAAAAAGAAATTGGTAGGGGAGGGGGGAGAAGATGCAATGTACAAAATGCAATGTACAAAATGCTGGATACAATGCAATGTATGCATTTGTATCCAGCATTTTGTAAAAGATTGTCCCTAAGGAAGTCCCTGACAGGGACGAAACGCGTTGACTACTATTGAACATTTTTTTCATCATCTGCTATTATTTACTTTGATGTAAGTAATAAATGCTGCTTTTTGTACTTTATCTACTCAGTTACTCCATTATTTTCTTGCATTTTTCTATCTTTTGTATGAGATTATCATCTATTCAGCATTGAAGCAAGAAGACACACACCAATATATTTCTGAAGGCACTTTATTTGATATCAAAGTGTGAGTGATCACTTGGCACTTAATTTTATATCCAGTATTATTATACACAGTGTTGCACTATGTTACATTTTTGCTTCCCTAGCTGGAATAGTCCTATACTATACATGTGTTGAATTGAAGATAGGAGGAGATCTTTGGGCATATCCTATGCTGGAGGGAAGTTGCTAATATTTATATTTTCCACTATAATCACTTTTTGGGAGAAACAGTGTTATTGTATGTGGACACCAGAAACACTTTTTGTAAATTTGTGAGTTTGTGAGAGATGCTATTTTATTATACACACAAACCTGTATTATACAGAGAGCAGCACTATACAGGGAGCACTGACTGTCCCAGCTTATTATACACACAAACATGTATTATACAGAGAGCAGAACTATACAGGGAGCACTGACTGTCCCATCTTATTATACACAGATACCTGTATTATGCAGAGAGCAGCACTATACAGGGAGCACTGACTGTCCCATCTTATTATACACACATATCTGTATTATACAGAGAGCAGCACTATACAGGGAGCACTGACTGTCCCAGGATATTATACACATACCTGTATTATACAGAGATTAGCACTATACAGGGAACACTGACTGTCCTGTATTATACAGAGAACACAAACCTGTACTATACAGAGAACAACACTATACAGGGAGCACTGACTATTCTGTGATATTATACAGACACAGACCTGTATTATACAGAGAGCAGCATTATACAGGGAGCACTGACTATTCTCTGATATTATACAGACACAGACCTGTATTATATAGAGAGCAGCACTATACAGGGAGCACTGACTGTCCCAGCTTAATATATACACAGATCTGTATTATACAGAGAGCAGCACTATACAGGGAGCACTGACTGTCCCAGGATATTATACACACATTCCTTTATTATACAGAGAGCAGCACTATACAGGGAGCACTGACTGTCCCGGGATATTATACACACAATGACCTGTATTATACAGAGAGCAGCACTATACAGTGAGAACTGACTGTATAATACAGGTCTATGTGTGTATAATATCCTGGGACAGTTTGTCCTTCCTGTATAGTGCTGCTCTCTGTACAATATAGGTCTCTGTGTGTATAACATCCTGGGACAGAGAGCAGCACTATACAGGAAGCACTGACTGTCCCAGGATATTATACACAGACCCGTATTATACAGAAAGCAGCACTATACAGGGAGCACTGACTGTACCAGGATATTATGCACACAGACCTGTATTATCGATAAATTATCAATAAAATTAAGCTTACACACACAGACTGCTCAATACATACACAGACTGCTGAATGCACACAGACTGCTGAATACATTGACTGTTAAATACACACACAGAGACTGCTGAATACACACACTGCTGAACACACACAAAGAGACTGCTGAATACACACAGGCTACTTTATATATACACACACACAGTGCTGAATGCACACACAGACTGCTGAATACAGTCACAGACTGCTGAACACATTCACACACAGATTGCTGAATACACGGACACACCGACTGCTAAATACACTCACACAGATTGCTGAGTATGCACACACAGGCTGCTGAATACACACACGTGCATACATACAGTACATTTAATACACACACAGAGATTGCTGAATACACACACACACAGACTACTGAATACATATGCAGACTGCTGAATACACACACACTGCTGAATACACACATACTGCAGTGAGGGGTGCAGTGTATGTGTTTTTGTTTAAGGGTGCTGTATGTGTGTGTGTGTGTGTGTGTGTGTGAGGGGTGTTGTGTGTGAGCAGTGCAGTGTGTGTGAGGGGTGCTGTTTGTGATGGATGCTGTGTGTGTGAGGGGTGCTGAGTGTGTGAGGGTGCTGTGTATGTGTATCAGAGGTGCTGTGTGTGAGGGTGATGTGTGTGTCAGGGATGCTTTGTGTGTAAGGGGTGCTGTGTGTGTGTGAGGGGTGCAGTGTGTGTGAGAGAGATGCTATGTGTGAGAGGTGCAGTGAGTGATGGGAGCTCTGAGTGCGTGAGGGGTGTAGTGTGTGTGTGTGTGAGGGGTGCTGTGTGTGTGTGTGTGTGTATGTGAAGGTGATGTGTGTGTGCTGGGGTGCTGTGCCCTGGTGATCTGGTGGTGGTGAGTTGTCACAAGCTCACTACAGACAAGCTCACTGACACACACACACAAGCTCACTGACACACACAAGCTTTTTCACTAGCAGGCACATACACACACAGTATATCAAGCCTACCTGGCATGGGAGGCTGTTGCTGGGAGGTCAGGTAACCATTATCTGCAGTAAGGTCTCCTGCATAATGTGGGGGTGGAGCTTGATGCCGGGAGTGGAGATTCCAATTTGGGGGTGGAGCCTGCATCCACAAGGCAGAACAGGAGCCTGTGTGTAAGGGAAGCTGCTGGGAAATCGCAAGGGAGACTGTCAGTGCTCCCTTTGGCGCCCAGCAGCCCCCAGTATCTCTCTCCAGCCCCCAGCATCGCTCTCCTGAATTCCCTCGGACTGTAACAAGCTGTTACAGTCCGAGGGAAAATAATAAAAGCACATGGCCAGTAAGTTGCCAGGACTTTCCCAGGAGAGTAAATTGCCCGGGACAGACTCCAGCTTGCCGGGACTGTCCTGGCAAAAACGGGACAGTTGGCAGGCCGGTGGGCCCTCACCAGACATATTCTCTGAGGGCTGCCATAACTAAATTCTGATTTTAAAAATAGCCTAGATAGAAATCAACAGACCTGAACAGAGTAGCATTGGGTTTGTGAAAAGTAATGAACACTAGAGCAAGCACTGAGCTTCAAAACACACCACCTGAGGTGATGGCATAACAATGGTCCATCTGTAGCTTGATTTGATTATGATAAAATAAAGGAAACATACTTTTTTTTTTAAATTGACAGAGTATGCCTTCCAACCACCAAATTCAATTAAGAAACTCAATTAGACATGATTTAGAACGTGGATGAGTGATGTGCAAATTGAATGTAATTTTTATAAAACCAAACAAATAAATAATGTGGTTCTACTCTCGTTTGTATAATAGTAAGTACATTATGTTTCTGTTACAAAATATATATGTGTTTACAAATAGTTGCCTTCTGCCTTCATCATGTGATCTACTGACTTGCAGGAAATTATGGGCAAAGTAGTCCAGCAACAGACATGAAACCAACAAAATAATAAAAAAGTCATACCTGCCAACATTACCTGCCTACCATTCCAAGCTGGATGGATCTGCTTCTGAGTGGGGTGGTGTAACGGCACCTCCCAGGCATAAAGGGGTTAAACCACCATTTAGTAGATCTTCCCTTCCAGAGACACAGGCACAGCTACTGCAGAACACCAAACTCCTGAACTGATAACAAGGGAATGCTCCAAACTCCCGAACTGCATACAAAGTAGCACTCCAAACTCCCGAACTGGAACCTCACGAATAGCTGGTAGCAGACGAACAGGAAAAGCACCCAAGCGGCTTACACTCCTGGCAATCAGTCTCTAACAGCATACAGTAACTCCCCCCAAAGACGAGACAGAGCTCCGTGTTGGGTGTCAAGCAGTGGTCTGGTTTATTGAGGGCTACCTGCCCAGTATTTATGCAGGTCTCCCACCTGGTGGACACTCCCCTAGGGGACCAAATGGGAGACTGTGACAAAGGACAGACATGAACCAATGACAGACACACAGAGGTAAAACATCCACACAATGCATCCTAATTTCCCTCCCTCTGTCCTGGAGATAATTGGGAAGTAATCCAATTATCTCCCTGGACAGAGACAAATCTCCATTAACCACATGGCAGTAAAAGACAGTAAAAGACATAAAAATGTATAAAGTTACAACTGTTGCACAAAACATATACATTCTACCTATCCCCAGATAGCTTAGATCTGAGCGCACATTATTACCAGATGGCGCTCAGATCACATACATACAGTTCAATCGCCATGGAGCCAAAGTCTTTCCCATAGTCTTTCGTTACATGAATAGGCTCCATGGCATGGCTATCTGGGGTAATGCTGTTAAACTACCAAATGAACAGGCATCGGTTAAGTGACTGAATGCAGACGCAAGGAGACTGATGGCTCAGCGGTGTTCGAGCAAATAAGTGTCCGTTTCCAGTTCCCTAGTTTGGGCGCTGAACATCGCTGGCCGTTCGGGACTTTAAAATGGCCGCCGCCACGTGTTAGGCAAATGAACAAAGGCCACCCAGCATTCGTCAATTAAGCTCCGGTTAACTGCAGCTTCTGGGAGGTAAATTGCCGACACACTCCCAATACAGGTGGTCCAGTCATTCGGTTGTTTGTTCGGTAGATTGAATCTACCGAACGCCGGGCAGAAAGGCACGAACAAGCCTTTTCTGTAGGGGAAAAGAAGGCTTTTTAACATGGGGCCATAGTCCAAGGGCAACAGGCGAGCAACCAGGCCTCTCCAATGCTTTGTGGCGAGGTTGGTTTTGCCACAGGTGGGTCTGCCCACTTAGTGGAAGAGACAGACCCTATAATGGGTGGATAGGCCGACTGTGGCGGTCTGCCGAGGTATCATTTCCACGGATACCCTTTTTCCCATATAAACAAGCAAATAATCCCACAGGTAAAATATAGCTGGTGCATAGACCCCCCCCCCTACACCCTGCCCCCCACATGAGACGAGGCTTAATGCTGGCAGAAGATTGTTTAATGGAAGTACAGGCAGCAAATTTACACAGTCCATAAACTCCTCCTCTGTGCCTAAGATATGATTGAGCCAGGAACGATACAAACTCAATTATCTCCAGGGACAGAAAAGTATAAAAATTTCTGAACACCCCAAACGTACCCCTAAAATACATGGAAACCCCACAAATGTCACCCCCGGATAGGTGGGATCTGGGCAAACAAAATATCCAAAAATCACCCAGATCTGTTCAGAAGTTTTAGATCGCCCTCGCGGGGAAGTTTTAACCAGTCTGACACGAGGTTGAAGCCTAAAATAGTTTCAGGGAAGTTGTGGCAAGAGTCTGTCTCCGTTCGTGGGGTTTTGTACGAAAACCACACAAGTTAGACGAAAGCACATCAGTAGAAAATGCTCCCTGTGATGACCTGGGTTTGCAGGAGTCCCTGGCCGAAATGAGTTCCAGGCTCCCCTAATTCTGTCTAACATTGTCCCTATGTGGTCTAGGTGAGCCACCCAGGTGTCGCTATAGATCGCAATGTCATCCAGGTATTCACAAGCATTATAGGAAAGGTAAGGTCCTCCTAGATATGTCCTCCAAATTTAAGGGCCTAAACCTGTGTATTAAGTAGCAAAACAAATGTTCCCACTGGGAACCAGATTGTTTGGAGTGACACTAATGCATAGAGCTGAAACAGATTAAGGAAGGATAATGAGTTCCAATAAACATTATTGTGCAAAGTAAAGTGTAGTGAAAAGAATTATTAGTAGATTAGACATTACCTACTCTTGCCAATGTTTGGGTAAATAACCCTTATTAATTGCTTATATTGCAGTGCGTGGTATGTCTACTAAATGCAATGATTGCAAATAATAAAGAAAGGGGGAAGGTGTCAAAAAGTAGAGACAAATAATATCAGGGGATACCGCAGAGGTTCTAAAACACTTCTGAAGACTAAAAAGTAGCTTATCCCTGAATTTCTTGTAATTACCTTTACTGAGATACGAATCGATCTGTATATAAGTGCCCATAAGAGCTTAATACTTGTAAATAGACCAAGATTGTATGTGCAAGTCTACCTCTAGAGAACAGTATGTGTTAACTCAAAAAGTTAACTGCAGCCTATATAGTAATTAGATAGTATAGAGATTAACTCAAATGAACACAGGCAGGCTATCAGTAAGAGCACAAACTGATACAGTATCAGACTTGTGGGCTGCCCTACCTTATATTTGTGACGACTGTTGTTTTCTGATTGGTTAAAGTGTTTTGATTGACTTGTTGCTGCTGGTGTTTTAAGTAAAGAAAGTCAATGCAAAATATGAAGCCTCCTGTCATGTGGTAAAATTGAGTCAGGAACTGTACAAACTCAATTCTCTCCAGGGACAGAAAAGTGTAAGAAGGCAGCATGAGGCCTAACATGTGTCGGGTGGGAGAGGCAGATGATCTCCCGGTCCGAGACCACGGGATGCCGACTCCAGCCGAGCTAAAACCCCATTACTCTCCCCCTGGACCGTCGGGGGTGATCGCGGTTCATCCCAAGGAGGCAAACCAGGACTGTAGGGAACACAGGGGAACACACTACACTGTCTACGACCCCCCTTATTAGTATTTAGGGCCCCCACCCACCGCTCAGGGGTGGGGGCCGGGGGGGAGGACAATAGGTCCCCCCGCCATCATTTTACTTTAGGGCCCCCACCCGCCACTCAGGGGTGGGGGCCAGGGGGAGGACATTAGGTCCCCCCTTATTATAATTTAGGGCCCCCACCCACCGCTCAGGGGTGGGGGCCAGGGGGAGGACATTAGGTCCCCTTCCCCTTATTCTGATTTAGGGCCCCCACCCACCGCTCAGGGGTGGGGGCCGGGGGGGAGGACAGGACAATAGGTCCCCCCCCCATTATTTTACTTTAGGGCCCCCACCTGCCGCTCAGGGGTGGGGGTGGGGGGGGCAATAGGTCGCAGGTGGGGGCTCGGGAGGGGGACCCTTTTTTTTTTTTTAACAGTGAGCAGCCACAAGAGGCATATTTTAGTAATACTAAGTAATCTTTCAGCATTTTAGTAGATAGCTCCCTAATACCGTGGGAATTAGGGAGTTATCTACCTATTCATTGCTGTCATTACATTGACTGGCTAAGTAACTAAGTAACTTACATTTTATATGAATGTATGTTACTTGATTGTTGTAAGTGTTGCAAATGCTTACAGCTGAATCCTGACTATGTTTGTATACATTTTATTTAAAATTGTATACAGTGTAACATTCTTCATTCTTCCACTGGGTAAGTATATTAGTTCTGAGGCAATACTGTGCTTCAGAACTTCGGCACTTCGGAACTTCGCCAACTTCGAAACTTCGGCACTTTGGAAATTCGGTAATTTATGAACTTTGGGACTTCGACAATTCGGCAATTCATCTATTCGGACATTCGGAAGTACCCGAATGTCCGAATTGCCCGAAATTCATCCGAATTCGCATTCGCACCGAAACGAATTGCACATGTCTATAGCAATATTCATACATTTTTATCCTCTACAAGGCAGATGATGTGCCAGGGCCATCAAGATTTGCTTAAACCCTTATCAGCAAAGAGTTAACTGCTATGAGAAAAAGAAAAAAAAATAAGGGAAATAAAAACTCAACCGTGAAAGATATTCTTATAAAAAGCCATGTTGGTAAAATGAGGATGTCAAAAGCAAATTTATATAAGGCCACAACCCATCCGCTCATTTATTTAGCAGGAAAGACATCAGGGAAACTTGAAGATGGCCACTTTGGTTTTATAACCTGGGTTTCAGCATAGCGTCAGCGCCGGATTCATTTGAATAACATCAAAAGGGATCATCATTTCCAGTAACTGGAATGTGAAGACCCAATGGCCCCAGAAGGAAAGAGGAAGTTACTGAGCAATAAATAACAATTTGCTATGGTTACGAAATTAGCAAATATCTAGATTTAATTAAACATTGCACAGGATGGGTGGAGTAAAATGCAATTTAGTATACACATACATAGCTTTAGTCACTGGAATTTAACAAACAGAATTTCTCTAAAGTTACAGGAAAAAGAGCAGTTTGGTCGGCAATGATAGTAAATCCTTCTACAGCAAATGTAGTGAATACAGAGAGTTGCTCTCCAGTAGAGGTGGTCTGGAGAAAAATAACAAAGGAGTTAAATAACAGCAAAATATTATTTAAAGGAGATTATCATGATTATGTATAAAGCAACACTAAAGCTTTAGAAGTATAAACATATATTCCTAATGCTAGTGGCACCTGACCTAGAGGTAAATTGCTGAGAAGTGACTGTCTCTGCTTTAAAGTGAATGGGCAGATTAGCTGCTACAATTGCCGGGGCCACAAGAGTGGCACATGCAGGTGTTTAGCTTGACTGCAGTTATACAAGACTGTTAACATGCTAACAAAAAGTTACTCCATATAGGATTCAGATGTGTTTGTATCTGTGTCAGGCCTGGTAATCGCTACGCTGGTAACTATATGCTTGTGCTGGCACACATGAGTATTCCTCTGGAGAATTTGGTGTTATAAATTAAATCTCTTAGGACGGAATCCCTGTCCATCCTTGACTAGTAATATGGATCGTTTACGCAAAATGTGTCCTGCAACAATACACAGAAACTGGCATGTTTACAGGACAGTCACGCACAAGCCTTGTGTACCATGGATACTTGTAAAATAGGCTGGTGTTTGTTTTTAATAATACTAATCATAATAATGACAGTATTGTGTGTTCTTTAGCTGTCCCAGAATTAATGGATGACCCCATGTGTGGCTCACCTGCTTACTTTCAAAGATGGGCAAAGGTGGAATACAACTCTTGGGAAGTTCAGAGAGTCATTTGCCAATTCCTTGCCTGTTACTCTGCCTAGCACTATGCAGGAAATCAAAAATGTTTTAAGTTAGTCACATATTTACTGGGTTATTTACTAAAAGTGAAAATTAAAAGTTGGTTTTAACATCTAATGCCAAAACAGCTAAACTCTCAAGTTAGTATGGAAAGAAAAAATAGCTCATGCAGGCTTTTAAGGGAGTAACCCTTGGTAATACGTATTTAGTTAGAATTAGAACATTGCCTACAGATATATATAAATGAAAAATAAAAAATGATATTTAAAACTAATCTTTATTGTTATAATTAAAAAAGAGAAATATATCTATAGGTATCACACAGTGAAAAAGGAGGTTCTGTCTTGCAGATAATCTATAAATTGATAGACCCTACAGGAAAAGGTAAACAAATCTAGGAGCATATATATATATATATATATATATATTCCTCTTTTTTCTTTCCTTTTCCTGTAGGGTCTATCAATTTATAGATTATCTGCACGATAGAACCTCCTTTTTGGCATGTTCTAATTCTAACTAAACTCTCAAGTTAGGCTACTTTGGCCTTAAAGAGTTACTTAAGGCATCATTATTATTATTATTTTATTACTTAAGTGATTAGAAGTGGTCATGGTGCAGTGAACCTGAATGTGCAGCACTTTGCTATGAAGCGCTGCACTTACAGAAATTAATCCCTTTGCTGCCAGAGGTGTAACTCCATCGCTGGCAGTGTCATTAGCTAACCCAGAACAAACGTCCAGGTTGTCCAACGTCAATTTTGTGCACAATTGGCGGCTGACACCAGACCGCCAGTGGCAGCATGCGATCGTCCTATCCTCAGTCTGTCCTCCCTGACATGCCTCCCTCTCTGGAGAGGGGGAGTGAAGGCAGTCAACGAGGATTGAGCTGAGGAAAAGCTTAATTGTAAGCCCTTTATACGTTTTTTTGTGTTTGGTGAGGGGAGAAAACTGTCAAAAAAGTAGTTTTGAAAACACTAGTTTTTTTTGGAGCGAATAGCCGTGAGGAGGCTCTAAACCAGGATGTTTATATGACCTCAATGCAGCTTCACTTTGACCTTCTCAGAAAAGTACCTCAGTGATATATTTTCCTCCTGATCACAGCTCTGACGCACCTCTTAGGGCTCTTTGCCCAGTCATTGCTCTAGCCCCCACTTCTACTCTAATTCATCGACTAAACAACAAGACGGCCTCCTGACAATTTCCACAAATACTAACTCATAGAGAAAAGGATGGACCTGCATCCTACCATTGATAGTGGCAGGTTTTCCAATACGGAAATGAAACATCACGCTAGCCAGGTTATATTTAGAGGTCAGGTGTGAAATAAGCAAAGAAGGAAACCTATTTGATACACTCACTATTCAGTGATTTGTCCAAAAAGATGTAAAACGTAAAATTTCTTAATCTTTTCTATTTTGAACTTTTTAAGTTCTAACTAACCATAGCACCATTTGTGAGTGAATTCCTCCAAGATGTGGCAAAAAAACCCCAAAACAAACAAAAACCAAATCCTACAAATAATTGGCTTATATCTATTGTTGCATTTCAGGATTAATAAAAATGATTAAGCATTTAAAACAACAGCTTTTTCTAACTCCGAATGTTTTTATATTCCCCAATATAGACTTTTAACTTATTTCAATAAAACATTTTTTTTAAATGGTATAACAAAAAAAAAGTATACCATTTGTGAGGCATCAGATCTATATTAAAGAAAGTCCAGGTTAGGAAAACAAAAGACTTAAAACATGTATCCCAGCATGCTCTGTGTTTCTGGACCCAGAACGATTCCCACAGAGATAAAGACAGGAGCTACATGTAGACTGGAAGATGACTTTGAATTGATAACAAGGACAGATTATCAAAGGTCCATGGAAAAGATAAAGCTTTTAAAATCTCTACAGAGCATTCTAAGTCATTTTCTGATTTCTGAAGCACAGGACAATCATAGTGCTTGGTTGCTTTGTACTGTGGAAGGGCACTTCTTAATGTAATTAATTAACAGTTTTCCCAGAAAATAAATTGGAGTTAATTCATCAAAGCCCTGTACATTGAAGTTTTGTTCTCTATTCATTAAATGCACTGGTAGATTTTTTTTTCACTCTTAAAATCCCATATTCAAAACCTTAAAGTAGGGAATTACATCTGAGGAACAATCTCTTTATCTGTGCTGGAGAGTATGGGTAAGGAAATCTGTACATTTTCCCTAAATGCATAATCAGTGACATCACTAAGAATCTAGAATTATGCGCAAGCACAAAGCCGTCACAATTTATTTCACTAAAACTAGATAAAAACAGTTTGTTTGTTTTTGTGTGCATCAGATCCTTTAGGAAACCTATAAGTGAGTACTATTAAATTGCGCAGTTTTTGTCTACAACCCAGTGCACACGGAAAACAAGCAAAAAGTTAAATGTACCTTTTTTTAGTAAAAATACTTTTGATATAATGTTATTCAGAGGTAAATTAATTGTTCTTATTCTTTCAATAAGGGGGTTTTGGTGCACTGACCTTTTTAAAAAAAAAAAAAAATTATATATATATATATGTATATATATATAATACTTTCCCGCTTTTAAGAAATGGCAGTTTTTACACTTGTTTTAAACCACACCTCTAGTGGCTGTCAGGCTATCACCCACTAGAGGTGCTTCTTCATTGAAGGCCTCTAAAAAACATCTCTTAAAAGTTTGAACCCATCCAATGCTTCTTCTTCCACCAAGAGAAGCATGTGATTAGCTGAGTGCAGTGATTGTCTCGCATGCACTCTGTGTCTCCAGTGCTTCTCTATGTGAAAAACGGGATTGGATGAAATTCATTATAACTAGTGATGTCCCGAACGGTTCGCCGAACGGTTCACGAACGGTTCGCCACGGACTCATCATTGAGTAAACTTTGACCCTGTACCTCACAGTTAGCAGACACATTCCAGCCAATCAGCAGCAGACCCTCCCTCCCAGACCCTCCCACCTCCTGGACAGCTCACTAAGAATGCAGCTTCAAAATGGATGCTGTCCAGGAGGTGGGAGGGTCTGGGAGGGGGATCTGCTGCTGATTGGCTGGAATGTGTCTGCTGACTGTGAGGTACAGGGTCAAAGTTTACTCAATGATGGGTCCGGGGCGAACCGTTCGGCGAACCGTTCGCAACATCACTAATTATAACTGATGATTTCATCATAGGTGGTGCATTTGCACCAAGGAGACTGCCCCAGTACTCGTGGTAATTATATTTACTTTTTTTGTAATTTTTGGGTTTTTTTAAGACTGGGGCTTGTTCATTAGAAATATATTTATTTTTAACAATAGTTTTACTAGTGCATAAACTATATGTAAGCACCCCGTTGTCACAGTGATTGGGTCATGTTAGATAATTGGCCTATCAAAAGTGAGTAAGCGGAGCATTTAATTGAATGCCTTTCAACCACCCCAGTTTAGGTGATCTAAAACCCATTTTATGCCATCCCCAGTGTTCCCCCTAATGTGCAGATGTGCTCTGCCTCCGATAAACCGTGTGCATGCCAAGTGCATTGAGCACGGACCATTTGCAAGACTGACAAATTTGCATACTTTGTGTCATTACAGTGCACACAGATATCTGCATTACAGATATGCAAAGGCAACACCCATACACAGGCTACATCCCCAATAGCCCTAATGTTGGTACTCAGAAAGATAGCAAATATGGAATTATGCTAAAAATATATTCCATTTCACGATTGGTAGTATGTAAATGGTATTGTCCAATATTTAAAAAATCGCATTCTTAATTTTCCAAATAGAAGAGTTGCAAGAAATCCCAAGGCAATCACAATGGATTGCCTTGGTGTTCATGGGCCAGAGAAGACATTACTGTGAAATATACAAATCCTATGATTAATTGAATCTGAGCCTGCAGGATTCCTGTGTAAACAATGTTCTTTCCACATTGAAGTAAAGTTAACTAATACTGTACTTGACATAGTGAGGTATAAAATATAAACTGATCTAAGTTATTTCCCGCAGATCCTTTTTCATTAGTCAGATCCTCTTCATGGAAGCAGCCCTCGACGTGTGCAACATTAATACGTGTCTTCATCATCTGTTTATCTCATTTTGCATGCAAGCGCTATCAGTATTTATCTATGTTTAGGATTCTGTCAATCTTACTGAAATCTCACAAAATTTGTTTTGTTAAATATTAAAGTTGGATGCTAAACAAGCTAAATTAGCAGATTGATGTTATTTTTTTTTGTCTAAATAAAGTTCAATATTATTTATATTTATTCATGTTTAGCATTTTGCTCTAACTTAGAGCATAGTTTTAATTAATCACAAAATGTATCTTTGAAATGTGTGCTAGTATTAAAATAACTTACATCTTTACTGACAATTCACCCATTTATTGATCGTAATATGGTAAAAAATTATATAGAAACATATCCAAAGTGGCATTCTACAAAATTGGCTTTTGGTCTCATGCCTGTCGTGGATGTGGTGGTGAATGTTATGCAGATCAAGTGAGGATTTGGTTTAAGGGACACTAACACAACTTGAGCTTTATGAAGCGATTTTTGTGTATAGATCATGTCTCTGAAGTTTCACTGCTCAATTCTCTGCCATTTAGGAGTTAAATAATTTATTTTCTGATTATGCACCTTCTCTGGCTGTGACAGACACAGCCTGCATGAAAACAAAATGGTTTCATTTTCAATTACGTTAGCTTACTTTAAAAGTTTGTATCTCCTGCTCTGTAAATTGAACCTTAATTACATACATAAGACTTGTGGCAAACCTAGCCACTTTAGGTCATACTGCTTAACATCTGAAGGTTGTCTGTAAAAAGCTGCTTTAATTCTGTGTATGTATGTATTCGTGTATCTCTGTAATAGATAAAAGCCGCTAGCATTCATATGGTAGTTTCACGAACAGTGACTTTACACACTTTTTGTGAAACGAATAAAGTACCGAATGGGAGCCCACACACAGAGGGTCGTGTGGCTCCCATTAACCGATTGCAACATTGTAGCAATCGGCGGGTAATTGCTTTCCTGGGTGGCCATCGTTCGGCTACCGACCAGGCGGCGGTCGGCCATCTTGGATCCTTTGTTATCCCAGCGGTGTTTGGTCGTCGAGCGCCTGGAACTAAAATCGGCTACTCGACGGCGCGAACACCACTGGACTTCCAGGCCGTTCGGGAGCATCATTCCTTCAGTACTTTATCACCCAATATGTATTCTGTACTTTTAAGGTGAATGTAATATAACGTGTGTTTCGTGCGGCGTTCGGCTATTTATGCTGGGATCTGAGCGGTACTTTCACAAAGTGTGCGCTCAGACCCCAGCTATCTACCGAACGGTCATTCAGTATAATCACACGAATAACATTAAAGTTATGTATTTTTGTGTTAAAATCCGGTTCTGCTGTACGGAAGGATAATCCACTTAACAGTATATTGTAGTGGGCGTGTCCCTCTCATACAGCAGTGCATGGTGGGAGAAATGTCCTGTATATTCAGTTCCCCATGTAGTCCTCTACTGTATAACCCCTGTAAAGTGACTAAGGAAACCCCTTGCATGGGGAACCACATAAATACTGTGACCTGTGAATAAAATCGTCAGTTGACTCCCAGAACTGTGTTTCGTCCGGTTACTGGGTGATTTGGGATATTGCCTTCATTTCCAGCGCTTTACTTGGATTACTTTCTGTACCAGCGGAGATATTGGGATTTAACATTGCAGCTCCGCTACAAGACTCCTGCAGGGTCTAGCAAGTTATTAAAGCTATTTACACATCTGAGGATAAGAAATTCTAAATTACACAGTATTTGCAGTAAAGGGAGTGTAAACATTAGATTACTCTTTACAGGAAATATTTAGAAAGGCTGTGTAAGTCACAAGCAGGGAGGTGTGCTTAGGACTGCATAAACAAAGTGAATTAACTCCTAAATGGCAGAGAATTGAGCAGTGAGACTGCAGGGGCATTATCTATACAGCCAAATTGCTTCCTTAAGCTAAAGTTGTTTTGGTGACTATAGTGTCCCTTTGAGTATGGTAGAGATGTCATGCACATTTATTGTGGACTAGGTCATTACATAACGAGTATTAAAAAAGGAATAAATCATTATACTAAAATATAAAGATATAAAAATGAAACTTGAAAAGTCATAAAAAGTAAACATTTTCCTGATATCACAGAGCATGTGGTTTGCCTTTTAGATCGACATGAAGTCATTACAAAGGAGATTCTGGAACTCGACCCCTGGGAGAACCATTGGAATGTGGTGTGCACCAGAGCCCCAATGCATGATAATTATGATGTTTGTCTTGTAGCAAGATTGAACCCCCGAGATCTTATCCCCCCACCACGTGACCTGGTGGACAGGTGAACATGCGTCACAGTCTCGTACAAGGCTACAGTAAATGTTATGTCTTAGTCAAACAAAATGTCCCTTTGTTCCTGTAAGTATAGTTTCTTACTTTGACATATGTGTACTCATTTTATACAGAGAGAGACTTTAACAATCTAACACATCCAGTCCATAATAACACAGACGTTGATAGGAATCTATATGTCTCTTAGCTAGTTACACTTTCTTCCAGAGAGAGAATGTATTGCTTTTCTCTGGATTGCCTCTTGTGAAACATTGCTTGAAAAATTTGGATAACATAAAATGAAGAAATAAAGCAAACTGTTCAAATATCAAACAATTGTTTTACTTAATTAAAATATCTGTCTCACAGAATCCCTAAAAAGTAAAGTAAGACTATCAACAGATTGGATGATGAGCCATTTCTCCTGGAGGTGGGAATGCATGTAGTCTTGTCTACATTCGTTACATGAATTATTTGTATTTTCATACCTACTCATCACCCAGTCTTCATCCAAATTCTGCCTACTGTGCTTAAACTTGCACATCTTTCTCGTTCACTTTTCATAATCACTTCTTACTATTTTTTATGCAAAATGTTCTTCATGGTAGCACATTTTTTTTTTTTTTTACTGTTTGCCAATTAGAATAGCAAATAAAGAAAATGAGGTTAGTACATACCCCACTAAATAACAACATATTGATTAGGTAATCAAGGCACCTGTAGGTTCCAGGAAGATGGAGTTTGTGCCAGATGTGGCTTGAATGGTTAATGTGATCGAACTTAATTCCCTGCCTCAATTGTCAGAGACTCTCCCAAATATCCAGCTCAGAGAAGCTTCCAATAGGTCCTTGATGACTTTACTTAATCTAGGGCAGAAAAGGACCCAAGTTGCCCTCACCCACCCTCTCCCACTTCAGTTTAGGTTGAGCTGGCTTGGCGCTTGAAGAATTACACAAGGATTTGTATAATTACATTTCATGACTAATCTCGGGGAAACGTGACAGTTTTGATAATCCCTTAGTAAAACAAAAGAAGGACTTTGTACTGTATTACTAGATGATCAATATGTAAATTTAGCATTCTGGTATATGAATGTAAAATCATAAACATACTTTACAAGTAGGATAATATGCCCGGGGTTATTTATAAAAAATAAATGATGGGCAGAGTTCTAAAAGTGCTGTATTAAGCATTAACAGTTTTTAGAAGCGTTCACAATAATTTCTGACTTTTTAAACAGTAGAAAACTTCTCTATGCTCTTTCATGTGAAGGAATTTGAGCATCAACTGACTTCTTTATGTGGACGAGCACAAAATATTTTTCATTAAAGTTTTAATTATTTAAAAATGCAATTTTCATGGACTTAAGAGGTTCGCCTTTCAGTGATTTAATTTCATACAGACTTAATCCTACATAGATAAAAACAGGGACCCTTAAATAGAGATGCACACTGCACCACCTAGAGGATATTATTTTTAGGTCCTGCATATTAAAATAATACAGCAAATTATACATGGATACATGGCTGTGTTTATTAAAGTACCATAGCCAGCACAGATCATTGTAGTGGTTATAGTGGAAATGTTCCCTTTCCCATTCTTAAATAGTTTTTTTAGTCATAAATTACATCTTCAAAGAACCTAAAAACATTGTTTTATTTGACCAATCTTGGATGAAAATCATGGGCTTCAAGCACTGAGGGAGATTTAACTTAATGACCTGACAAAAAAAATATTGGGGCCTGGCCTGACCGCCATGCTGAATGGACGTATGAGAGAACAGCTCCAGCAGTATTTTGACTTTTCAGCCTATTAAAGCCAATCTTGTACTCTCCTAGCGACTGCATACACAAATGGGAGTACTGACTACGAGGCAAGGCGAGGGTTGCACAATGTGTTTTAGTCCCTTAGAGGGACATACTTCTTCTACTCAGAAGAGGCCTACCCGGGTGGTGAGTGGACGGCCACTACCCCACTATCCTGCCCACATGTACCAGGCCGGACTCCCGAAGCTACACATACCTGGCCCTGTTCCCCCCTCTCTGGACCAGCGGGGGGTGATCCTGGTCCGCACCCTGTGGCCCCTACCACACCTGTAAATCTACGACCCCACAGTACCACCTTCCTGCAGCACAGATCAGGAGTCTCCTACAAAATGGCGGAAGCCATGCACCCAGCAGCCTACCCCATGTAGGATGTTGATCTTCTCTCCACACAAGATAGAAGCTTACCGGAGCTGAGGCAAGGGAGACTGAAGTGATATCTGAGTTTCGGTTCTGTAAGTTCAAGATTCTGTTTTAAGCCTTCTCCTTGGACTCATATGCTGCAATGATTCTGATAGTAGGAGACCGCAATCTCCCCACTAAGGGTCTTGCTCTCCAACAGGGTTGTGTGAGGGCCTTGCGGTGTACTAATACTCACTGGAGGTTTATCAATCCAGTTTCCTAAGCTTAATATGATTGAGTCTACATGTACCTACTTAAGCTGGCACATTTAAGTTAGTGTGAGTGGTTACTTTCCTCTGATTGTTTTTTCTTGTTTTTGTGCTTTTTTTGTGTTTTTGTTTCTTTTTTCTTTCCCTTTCTTATCTCTCAATCTCATTCAAGCTGAAAATATCCATGCTCTCCAAGGACTATTATAATATGGCAGTCTAAAGAGACAGTGTTACAGTTCTAGCCCTGGAGAACTATTTCATGCTACATTATACTATAAAATATGCCTCAATTATATAAAAAAAAATGTGCAATGTACCTGATACCACACTAATGTTGAACTTTGTCTATGTATATGTTTGCACCAGCTGTTGTGGCAGTGCAAAACTACTTGTTAACCCACGCACAACCAAAATAATTAATTAAAACTTTTTTTTTTAAGTTGACCGCCAATCAAACAATTGCAGTATTTATGGGCTTAGAGTATAACCTTTAACCCCTTAGGGACACATGACGGAAATATTCCATCATGATTCCATTTTATTCCAGAAATTGTGTCCTTAATGGGTTAACACAAAATTGGAGTAATAATGGTGGGAAAGACTTAAATGTGATGTAATCTCCCCTCAAAAAATCACAATGCTTATTACACCTCTGAATGAACCTGTGGTCGTTGTACATATACCATACATGCAGGCATTGTACGACATGTACAGCCACCAGAAGAGGATGGGGTGTGAGATGTCAACCAATTCCTGGTTGGTGATTGAACATTAATATAGAAACAGCAGGCCCAGTACAACACTATATGTTTCGTATTTCTTCAGCAATCAATGTTCTTTTCCTTTTATGTTCCACATGAATGGTCAAAGCATTTGACTTTGTGGACTTTGGGTTTTTGTTGAGTAAATTGGATGTCATGTCAGGATATTTTGCCCTAACAACTTGAATTAGATCTATAAACTATACACTTGCCTTTGTAGCATCTTAAGAGTTAAAGGAACACTCCAACATTGGAATACAAACATGTATTCTTAATGTTAGAGTGTTTAGTGAATTATATAAATTAAGTGCACCCCACAGAAATAAATAAGATTAAGTTACCTTATTTCCCCCAGTGCAGCTGTCATACCACAGCTGCTGCTCCTCCCTGGCAGAGATTATCAGATTTTCCCGTTTGAGTGAACATGTTGGGAGCATCAGCTCAGCCCCTCTAGCACGGGTGAGGATAAGAATGTAAGGAAGGCTAGACAGGTTGTGGTGGTAGGGTACATTGATATTAAGAGAGTAGATAGGGTAATTTGCTGCTCTGATCGGCTCAACAGGACAGTTTGTTGTCTCACGGGTGATCGGGTCCGGCATGTTGCTGACAGAGTGGATGGATTATTGGGAGGGGCTGGGGATGACTCCACAGTCATGGTTCATGTTGGTACAAATGACAAAGTCAGAGGAAAATGGAAGGCCCTAAAGAATGATTTTAGGGAATTAGGTAGTAAATTTAAGAAAAGGACTGCCAAGGTGGTATTCACTGAGCTATTACCTGTGTCACGTACTACAGTGGAAAGGCAACGGGAGATTAGAGAGGTAAATGTGTGGCTGAAGTCTTGGTGCAAGAAGGAGGGTTTGGGGTTTTTAGAGCACTCTGCCAATTTTGCGCTTGTGTACAATCTTTATAGTCGTGATGGATTGCACCTAAATGGGAGAGGGTCTGTAGCGCTGGAAGACATGATGGCTAGGAGGATGGAGGAGAGTTTAAACTAGTGGTGGGGGGGGGGGGAGGAACAGCTACTAAATTGAAATAGGACATAAATGAGATGGGCTTTAACTCAGTACAAGAAAGGTGGAGATAGGAGAGGTGTAAGATCTGAAGAGAGGAGGAATGTAATAGTAATAAAATTTCACTTAAATACAAGTGACTCATGATAATATTAAATGTATTCTTACTAATGCAAGGAGCCTAAAAAACAAAATTGGGGAACTAAAGGCAATAGTGTACACCAAGCAATACAACATAAAAGGCATACCAGAAACATGGTAAGAAGAGACACATGACTGGGCCGTTAACATAAATGGTTACACACTATTTAGGAAATTCTGCAAGTGAAATTCTTATTCTGTTGGTCCTGTGAGAAATTAAGGTATTTTATGATAGGGGTATTCTTGGATTCATCAGACCTATCCTCCAATGTCCTAAATACCAGCATTCTCCACAAAGACCCTCTAATCCTGTTCCCAGCCTTAACTCTCCTGACTGTGTACGATAAATTTAATATAAAATCATTTGCTTTCAGGACTTTCAAAATCACCCCATCGGAGTACCCAAAGCCCATATTGCAAGTTTGCATAAAACAATCATTTTATTCATCTCTCTGGTTGTCATACTGAGATCTGAGACCAAAAAAAGGGTTGAGTTGCTTGACTTACCATCGATTAGAACACTATCCTCAATCACCTCTGGGCGTTTCTTAGAACAGCTTGTTTTAGTGGAATGAGTTTGCCTCGCTCCCATTCTTATTAGATCCTACGTTAGTGGTTTGACACAAACTGGGTACTATAATTCTTACTTGCAGCTGCTTCCCTTTGCTTCCACTAATAAATAATCCCAACGTAATAGCAGGGTCCAATTTAATCTCTTCTCCCTTCTCTCTCTCTCACTCTCTCTACTTTCCCTCCCCTTCATATGACTTGGATACTTGGATTATTCATCTACATTCTGACACCCTTGTATTGTAGTGTTACATATTGCTTTCTCTAACCAGCTCCTCCACGTTATTCATTATTCATAAATAATTCTAATTTAAAGTTCTTGCTCCACTTCTGAACTGGCAACTTACTTAAGTTCCTGGAGAGCAGTTTTTCCTTGTTTTGTTTTTGTAAATTTTTTGCCAAACCTGCACCATGCTTTTTTGGTTATGACCAGGAATGCAAGTTTTTGGACTTATATATACATATATATACAGTTGTAATCATTACAATAATTATTGAACCCTTATTGAAAAGGTTTATTGTC